CCCCAAACTGGCCTGCTTGATACTGTGTCTCAGAAGAGGAAGAAAATAAAAACCTGATTTATAGTCACTTAGCTGTTAGTTTATATGGAAACATTCTTTTTCCTGAAGGGTTTGTGGTTATTGGTTACTTAAATTCTCATTTTGATTTTGGAAGTAAATATTTTTTGTTTTTGTAGGATTGCTGTAGAATTTTTGGATGGAAAAGCCTTCTGTTCAAACATTCCTCACTTGAAGGGACAATCTGCTATGAAAAAACGACATTTGGAAATCTTGGGCTATCGTGTTGTTCAGGTATGAAACAGTCAGGTAATTCAGCCTCTAAAAAGGCACGGTGGGGCAGGTGTGGGCATGCACATCCGTAATCCCAGTGCGGTGTGGGCGGACACAGGTGGAGCGCTGGAGTCTACCAGCCTACCGGGAAAACCTTGTCTCCCGGGAGCAAGGCAGAGCGTGCTGGCGCAGGACACTGACTGTCTCCCTGCACACATGGGCATGTGTATCTACCATGTGCCTAACACACAAACACACATGCGCGCACACACACACAGAGTTTGGTGTACAGGCCTAATCCTAGCACTTGTAAGCCTGAGGCAGAAGGATCTCGAGATTGAGGCTACCTGTCCCACCTAGCAAGTTCAAGGCTAGAATCTGTTACATAGTGAGGTCTTGTCTCAAACAAATGAAGAGCTGGCCGTAGTGGCTCATACTTTTCAGTCCTAGCACCTGGGAAGCAGCTATAGATGGCTTTCGGAGTTTGAGGCTAGCCTGGTCTCTGTATATTGCATTTCAGTCCAGCCAAAGATACAGAGTGAGTCCTTATATCAAAAACAACAACAACAAACAAACAAAAACCATAAATAAATTTTACTGGTTTGCATATTTTTTATTTTGCATGTCGGACATTACAGACAGGGTTTTAAAAGGAAAAGGCTAACGTACCATACATAGGCTATGTGAGGGGACACGCTTCTGAGAGTTCAGAGGCCGTGTTTTTGTAGACTCTTGTAGCCTTCAGCAGACTCCTGCGGCCTTGCAGGTAAAGCTCATAAGCCCTCACTGCGATTTATATAGCTGCTGTATTTAAAGATTTATTTTTCAAATTACTTGTGTCTGTGTGTGAGTATGTGCATATGGGTGCAGGTAGCTGTGGAGGTAGGAGTCCCCAGGAGCTAGAGTTACAGGAAATTGTGTGCCTTCTGACATGGTACTGGGAATCAAACTCAGGTTCTCTCCAGAGTGTGTAATCTTAACTGCTGAGCTGTCTCTCCAGCCTGAGTATATATTATTGAAATTTATGTGTAAAATCACTTGATTTCAAATAAATAGTCAATATAAAAATATTTCAAGCTATTTTCTTCTACATAATTGTGCCACTTAAATCTTTTATTAACTTGTATCATTTCTTCAGAATCTGTTAGCAAGGTATATAGAAAAGCATTTTTTTTAAGTGAATTGAAACAGGAAAGTTTCAGCTTTTATTACAAGATGGCATAAAAGGTTAGCAAGCAGTGCCATTACTGTTTGGGAAGGGACTTGATCTCTTTGTGTAAACAGGCTAGCCTTTTAAGCATCAGAGCATGGCAACCTAAGCAGTGACATAAGCACATTTATTCCATATCGCTTACCCTCCCAGGCATGTGCACACGAATGCATAGTTTCGAAAATTAGAGCCCAGCAGGACTGCTTGAAACCCACTGGCAGCCAAGGGCCTGTGATAACGCTGTGGTTTCCCTCTTTCCTTTAAACATTTTTAAATCTATTTCAGTTTTTTAAAATTTATTTTTTATGTGTGTAGGTATTTTGCCTATTTATAGGTCTGTCATCACAGGCATGCTTGGGGTCCCAGAGGCCAGGTCAACTACTGCTTATAATCAGCTGTGAAATACTCATTCAGGCTGCCTTCTTGTTTGTTTTGTTTTGTTTTGAATGTTGTTTTATGTGTTTGGATCTCTTACCTGTATGTGTATCTGCACACCACCTGCCTGTCTGATGCCCTCAGAGGCCAGAGGAGGGGTCCCCTGGGCTGGACTTACAGACAGCTGTGAGCCACCACATGGGTGCAGGGGACCAAACCCAGGTCTTCTGGAAGAGCAGCCAGTGATTTTAACCTCTGCGTCACCTCTCTGTCCACCCCTCTTTCACATCAGTTTTAATGGGAGAAACATAGTAACGTGCTGTAGCCAGGCTGGCCGAGAGCGCACAGTCAGTTAGCCTGTCTGGCCTTTGGCACTCCTCCTGCCTCAGCTTTTGGAGTGCTGGTATTACAGCTGTGAGTCACTGTGCCTGGATTCTTTCCAACTTGGGTGGTGGGGACTTGGGAACCAATAACAGGCTTTTATTTATAACATTTCTGGAGGCTAAGAAGCCCCAGATCCAAGGCTAGCACTTATGGTGTCTGTGGAGAGCTTGTTTCTCTATCAAATGGTGCCTTCTCCCTGTGTTCACCTTTCTGAATTTTTTAGCACACACACAATATCAAAACCCACAAATACTGCTAAGTAACAAGTCTTTTATGCACTCTTAGTTCATATCCTTATAGACCAAGAAAATAATTTCTGCATTTTACAACTGTGTTTGCATTTTATGAATCTCTGAGGCCATCATTGGAAAGCCTATATATCTCCTCACTAAACCAACAGGGAGCTCCATCTGATGGTGGGGAAGTCAAATTAAAAACACTTACAGTTGTTTTAAAACTCTTATTCAAATAAATTACTTACTTTGCAGGTCCCTTACTTTGAGTGGAACTCCATGGCACTGTCAACGAAGGATGCACGGATGGGCTACCTGAGAGAACGGATATTTGGAGCAGCAAATCCTAATTGTAGTTTTCATTTTAAATGACTATGGCACACCACATTTTTATTTACTTAAGTGGCTTAACTCAATTAAAAATGCTAAGTGCAAATATTCTGAGTTGGAATAGGCTGATGTATTTGGGAATAACAAGAGTTCCACTGTGGTTAGAGCAAAACAAGTGGGAGGAGGGGTCGGGAGTATAGAAAAGGTCAGAGGTAACAGTCAACAGCAGATGACCTCACGGCTCCTCCAAATGAGATGAGAAGCCATTGTAAAAGCTTTAAGCAAGGAATGCTAAGAATACACATATTTTATATTTCTGCATATTTGATTTTATTATTTTTTTTTAACTTGAGTAGAGCCAGCTGGTCCCCACCTTGTGGCAATCCTCCTGCCTCTGCCTCCTGAGTGCTGGTATAGGTGTGTGCATCATGCCCACACCCAGCTAAGAACTCTCAATAAGTGAGTCAATCACAGCGCTCTGGAAATGAGAGAGGAGGTCCGTGAGATTGAGGCCAACCTGTGTGGCATAGTGAGTTCCAGGCCATCCTAGGCAATAGTGTGAGTCACTGTCTCAAAACATTCTACATCTCAAAAAAAAAAAAAAAAAGAAAAAAGAGAAAGTTTCATAATGTACAATTTAAAATTTTTCTATTTGTTCCCTTATGTGTGAATGTTTTATTTTGATCAATTTGAAAGCCACCATTCATTCCCCTCCCCAACTCCCCCTGGGTCCTGCTTGCCCTCCCCCTTCTAACTTGTGTCCCTCCCCTCCTCTCTAGAAATGTTTGTATATGTAGCCTAGTGAGTGCACTTAGTGCCGCTGCGTGTGCATGGGTACAGGGCTGTCCACCGTAGCATGGCCTGGGCCTGGAGAAAGCTGACTGGTCCCCCCGCAAAAACTGTTATGGCTTCTAAACCAGGAGCAAGGCTTGTGACATCCCCCCCAGCACACACACCATCCGTGCTTGAATGTCTAGCTTGATACTCTGCCGGCAGCTGCGGCTATTGAGAGTTGATGAGCCCAAGTGCCTGTGACTCTAGAAGACACTCTCTGCCTCTTACAGTCTTGTCCCCTCATCTGGGATGTTCTCTGAGTCTTCAGGGAGGAGGTGTAACACAAACATTCCTTTCACGAAGACTGGGGTCTGTGGGAAGAGCAAGGCGGGAGGTGGGCTGCTTGGTGGGACCATCCTGAGTTTGTTCAGACATGTTGTGACATTTTTCCAGCATCTAAGATGTCTACTCAGTGAGTTTGGATGTCACAGGGAGGTCCAGGCTCCAGAAGGAATTGTGGAAGTCGTCACTGGATTTAATAGCACGTGACTGCATGGCATTGCTTCAAGTGCGATTGGAGAAGAGTGTGGATGGAGGGGGATGTAGCCAACAGAGAATGCCCATACACCTATGGAAGATCTGTCCATATGCAGATGTGTGGTACGATCCAAGTGCTGAGCACGTACAGGGTTGAGTCTGATGACTGTGGTAGACTGAGGAGGCTGTAACCCCAAGAAAAACTGGGCGCATAGCCTTATATTACTCCAGGTGGACCCTTACTCTTACCCAAGCTGGGCTCAAACCTGGTTGTTCTAGCAGTCCTAGTGGGATGTCTCTCAAGGTCTGGGGTTTCAGACATGTGCCAGCGTACTTGGCTCAGTCACCTCTCTTGCTGTTGGAAGTTTAGCAAATAAGCAGCCCTTTCATGTAACTAAAGCTACAAATTGAACCAGTGGCTGTGTACGCTCCTGTCAAATCACTTTCTGCCTTAGCAGCTTAAAGATCACTTTCCATTACAGCTGCTGTGCTTAATGTGGAGACTGTAATTGGTTGGGTTTAAATTGAAGCTGCGTGGGGCTGCAGAGCTGGACCAGCACATAAACATGCTTGCCTCGGAAGCTGAGAACTTGAGTTCAAATCCCTAGAACCCACAAAAATGATTGGCACGTAGCATGAGTGCCCCTGCAGGAAGGTGGGAGGCAGACAGGAATCTACACAGAAGCTTGCAGGCCAGCTCTCCTGCACAGGGGAGAAGCAGCAAAGAGCCTTCTCTAGTTAGGTGGGAAGCGAAGACAGACACCAGTGCTTGCCCTCTGACCTCCACACAAATACTGGCACATGCACGCACGTACACATTGTCAACAGATACATACAAAGATACAACATTTTGATTGGGAAATAATACACCAGTGTCTCAAAAAGCATTGAGAAAAGGACTGGAGACTCATTTATTGTACTTTTAAACAGCATTTCCAGTCATCTTCATTATAAGGCACAAGATTCCTGTCATAGCTCAAGACAGGGAAAGACATCTCTTTAGAATGTAGACATATGCATTTCATTTACAATAGAAAACAAGTGTAAATGTATTTTAAGAATACAAAGGATTAGTAAACAGCTCAGATTTAGAAAGCTCACCTCTTGGAGAAAAGTTTAATAAACATACATTGTTCAACTGAATACTAAACTTCTTAGCAAATGGCTGTCTACCTGGCACACTGGAAAACCTCTTGAGATTTCAGCTGCACTGTTTTACGTCATAGAAACTCTACATGAATAGCTGTAAACCTGCATGAATCATCGTACAGGCTTAGAGAAAGGCAATAAATTAAAGCCCTCCTGTCCCAACAAGCCACCTCTCAAACTATTGTTTTTGTCACCTTGTTTATAGTTTAGACAATTTGAACAGATTTAAGCGTGTTCCTAGGCAACTAGCCCCTGAAGCATAACGTATCTCCTTCAGCATCCCAGCCCACTCTTTTTTATCATCTTCATACCTGATGGAAGAAAAAAAACAAACAAACAATAAGTAGCCTTTAATGAGAGTTTTGTAAGTGTCATGTATTCAGTATAAAAATGGGATCCCTGAAAAACTAAAGCCCCACTACCTCCCTGAATTCCTTTTAAAGTATGCACACTGAAGAAGCACAGACCCGTACTATGGCCGTTATTATTGGAATTGGACTGTCCAGAAAAGGTACTAGATAGCCGAGCGGTTTGTCATCCACCCTGCCACTACTGAAGACTGTTGGAGAGGAGTCGGGGGAGCAGACTCTTAAGACAGAGAACTTAGAAGAGCAGGAACTAGCCTGAGTCGGGATTTCAGGCATTTTCACCTCCTGGTGCCTCTTGTGGTAGGTACCTGATACCATGTTGACTCCTTAAAATGATCCCTTTCCCCACTGTTGTTTGAGGGCTATGCCCTGGCCTCCCCTGAGAACTGGTCTTCATCTCTGAGTACTCAAGAATACAAAGATAGAATCTGCATTACCTTAAAATATGTGCTTGACATCTCACTGGAATTTGAGGCCAGCCTGAGCTATAATGAGTTTGAGGCTACTGAATGAGATCCTATCCCAAAGTGCAATGGAAGTTTATTTTACACACCACGATAGGAGGTTTGAGGAGATTAGAGTGTGGTTTGTTGGTTGGTTGTTTCTTGACCCTTTGTGTGTATGGCTACACAGGTTCACTAGGAAGAGGTCAACAAACAGACAACCATCTGTTTCCAGGTCAGTAGCACTCACAGAAGACTTGCAGAGCTTGGTTCAATTGCCGGCTCCCACCCTGTCCAAAAGTCAGGCCTGAGGATCTGCATTCTTAAACATTTGTTTTGATTTTATGTGTATGGGTGTTTTCCCTGCATGTCCATCTGTGAATCACATGTATAAGTCACTTCAGAGGCCAGGGAGTTGGATCTTGTGGGACTAGAGTTACAGATGGTTGTGAGGCACCATGGGGGTGTTGGGAATTAAGCCTGGTCTCGTGGGAAGAGCAGCCTGTGCTCTTCACCTCTGAGCCATCTCTCCTGCCCTGAGAATTCGTAATGTCTAGCAAACCCAGGTGTTGTTGACATTGCTTTGGGAAGTACTGAAGTAATCATGAATTCTCAAGTTTGACTAAACAATGGAACCACTTGGAGATGACAAAAAAAAAAAAAATGTTCCTGCCTGGTCCCTCACCAGAGACCTTGTTGGTCTGACATGTGATCTGGGGATGAGAATTTTTTGAAAATTTGGGAAGTACTGCAACCAAACTTGAAGGTTATCACTCTAGGTATTACCCCATCAGAATCATCCAAATTTCCATTTCCGCTGCTAAGCAAGACAGTGATGGGTGTGTCCCCAATCTAGTGGTTTTCAAGCTCTTCTGCACATGTACAATTATTTTGGGGATCTGTCAAGTTTCCAAAGCTCAAACTACATCCCAGAACAGCATAACCCATCAGCAGGGGTGGGAGAGAGGGCCTGGTGCCTCTGTAGTGATTCCACTGTGCAGGCAAGTCTGGGAACTACTTCCCAAACAGAAAGATGAGTCACAGGCAGACGATTCTTTTTTGAGGTTCTCCTAGCAACGGTAAGGGGCCCATTTAGCAGGAAGTGCTGCACTTTTCTTCCCCATTGCTGCCTACTGTTTCCTGTTGCTGAGGCAGCATGGCCTTAGACTACGTCAGAACCTAGTGGCTCTTGTGATGGTTAGGTAGTTGCTGGCACAGTTGCCTCCCATCAGTGTTTCTCAAAGTTCGTCTGCACATCAGATCACCTGAGGTTTCAGGAAATAGTGATTTTTGGGTCCAAGCTTCAGAATCTGGGCATAATCAGTTTGTATGTTAAGGCCCAGCTCTGGTATATTTCAGAAGTGTTGCAGAGATTGCTCTACAGTCAGGGTTCAGGAGCCACTGCTTATTCACCCCTGGCACCTGTCAAACCTCTAATGTTTCCATTATTTCATTCTGTTTCTGTTGATCCCAGTATTTCTGTATCTCACCCTCTTGCCAGTTCTAGCATCCATGATCCTTGTAAATCTCTAGGTTTTTTTTTTTTTTTTTAATCTCTTTTGAGGGAAAGAGAGATTGCAATGGACTATGTTTTATAGCCACTTTTTCCTCAACACAAGTAGTTACTACATCATAAGGGAAGGATTTTTAAAAGTGTATGTATGTATACATACATGAGATTGAATTATAGAGCTCTAGGTACCCTGTGCCCTGTCATGAACTGTCTGCCCATCAGGAAATGTTAAGGCACCTAAGAGTGATTTGGAGAAGCTGCCAGCCTTTCAGCCCTGTTGCTTACCAGCAGGGAATAAAGCACCTGCTGGTTTGGGTCTAGAACAGATAATAGCCACCTTTGGGTCTCAAGTGCAGTGCTCCGCCTTCACTGAGTGGACACAAACTAATGCCAATGAAGCAAGTAGGAGTCTTGTTAAAATGCCACTTCTGATTCAGGAAGTCTGAGGTGGGCTCCGAGATTCTGCACCTCCAACAGTCCCAAGGGAAGCCAATGGTACTGGTGCCCTACAAGCCGTACTCTGGAGAGCAGGGCGCCAGGCAGCCTGAGACCAGGCCCCTTGAAGACCTCCGGCCGTGGCAGTAAGGCTGGCTTTTGGGCTGATGGGAGAGCACGAGCGTGGCTGTTTCTAGGAGCGCGTGCAGCATGGACTTTCTCCTTAGGCACCCCAGAGCCCCGTCCTGAAAGTCAGATGGCAAGCACAGTGTCTGGGCTAGCGCAGTAAGCATCCTGATGGGACACTTAGGCTCCTGTGACTTCCCGGATAGGTCTTGGTTTCCATTTGATATTTACTGTATCTGACCGACACTATGGTAAGAGTGTCCCCTGCCCTTTAAAAAACATTCTCTGACTAAAATAGTCCAGTTGAGTAACTGCTGCATACTTGGGAGAATTGCCCAGCAGCTGTCTGGGTGGTAAAATGGATAGCTACTTTCACTTTTTTCTTTTTAAAAAAGCATTTACTGCCAGACATGGTGGCCCAAGCCTTTGATCCCAGCACTGGGGAGGCAGAGGCTGGTGGATCTCTGAGTTTGAGACCAGCTTGGTCTACAAAGCAAGTTCCAGGATGGCCAGAGCTGTTATAAAAAAAAACAAAACAAAAAAACCAATCTCAAAGAAACTGAAAGAAAAAAAAAAGTGTTTACTAACTGAATCATCAAAAAAATTGGAAAAATAAATTATACTTAATGAACTCAAGTAAGACACTAGTCTAAACATTTTTTCAGTGCTTTTTTTGTTAAAATAGTTTTAAAATGATTTATTTTTTAATTGTGCAGTGGTGTTTAATGCGCCTGCATGTATATCTGTGTGAGGGTGTTAGAAACTCTGGAGCTGTTATAGAAAGATATGGGCTTCCATGTAAGTGCTGGGAATTGAACCCAGGTCCTCAGGAAGAGCAGCAAGTGCTCTTAACTACGGAGCTATCTCTCTGGCCCCTACTTCTATGTTTTCTTAGGAAATGAACTATTCTGAAGGAAAGCAAATCTCTCTGCCCTACTGGGTGACTAAAGAAGAGCTCAACTGTCCTTACTCATTTTACAAGTAAACCTGCCTAGGGCTGGAAAGGTGGCTCAGCAGTAGAGGGACTGGCTGTTCTTCAGAGGACCCAGCACCCACATGGTGACTCCCAGCTGTCCGTGTCTCCAGCCACAGGGGATCAGGGCCCTCTCCTGGCCTGAAAATGCATTGCACAGGCATGCGGTGTGGAGACATGCATACAGAAAGCACCCATATACATAAAATAATGTTAAAAAAAGACAACAGAAAATCAAGACACCAGTCTGGATGACTTCTTTCCTTAGTCTCACAGCTAACAGAAGCAGCACTTGGTCAATAAGTGGCAGATTCGAAAGTTGAGTTAGGTTGGAATGTATAGTTTACCACTGAGCTGTAGCTTGCGTGATGGGAAAATCTGGCTGAATTGCTTATCGGTTATCTGACTTACTACTTGGTTCAGAGAATTAGATTGAGGGAAACTTACTTCCATATGTCATTGACTTCAGTGGGTGCAAACTCTTTCGACTCCAGCTGAATCATCGCAAAACCGCCAATGGCATACAGGGACCCCGCCAGGCTGACCAGGCTGACAGAGCTTCTTTCTTGGGGAAATTCGGTCATCACTTCCCATCTAGGTAGTTTATTGAAAATGCAGTAAGTATAAAAAGTACAGAAACACAGCATTTTGGTGTAATTTTGTTATTTTTTTCACCAGATGGGTGTGTGTCTCTGTGTGTGCAGGTGTGAAACAGGTGTGAAACTAAAGCCACGGGGCTTATAGTTTCGTGTGCCGGATTACACTTGTTTGTGGCACAGTTTCACTCTGTGGCTCTGACTGGCCTGGAACTCAGAGACTTGTGTGCCTCTGACTCCCTAATACTGCCAATCAAAGTTGTGCCCCACTGAGTTCAGCAGATTTAAGCTTTTATGCATTGGAGCACTTACCCTTTACATCTAGTCTTCAAGAACATAATTTTGTTTTGTCTTTGGAGACAGGGTTTCACTGTGTAGCCTTGGCTGTCCTGGACTTGCTTTGTAGACCAGGCTGGCCTCCAACTCCCAGCGATCCGATCCACCTGCCTCTGCCTCCCTGACTGCTGGGATTGCAGGCATGTACCACCTTGCTCTGCTAAACATCATTTCTAATGCTCATTTAAATCTAGATTTGGCCAGGCATAGCGATGCACACCTGTGATCCCAGCACTCAGGGAGGCAGAGGCAGGCCGATCACTATGAGTTCAAGGCCAGCCTGGTCCACAAAGCAAGTCCAGGACAGCCAAGGCAGAGAAATCCTGTCTCGAAAAACAAAAAAACAAAAACAAAATCCAAAAAAAGGTAGTTTTGTGAAAATTCATTGTGATTTGCAGATATGAAAATTATTTAATAATCATATATATTTGGATTTTTCAAAAAAGTAATAACACTGCTCTAATTTTTTATCCCTAATGCAAGAATAGAAAACTTACCTAGGTGTGTATTTACCTAAGTGTGTAAGCTTAAAATTTTAGATTAATTTTATATAAAAATATCAGTCAAGAATCTTCTCACATTAATCCAATAAAAACTTAAAAGTAAAAAATTAAGAAACTTACAAAGCATTCATAGTTTATGAATAGTAGTTGTTAACAAGTGAAAATCTTTTAATTTGGGGGGAGGGGGCTTGTTCAAGACATGGTTTCTCTGTGTAGACCAGGCTCATCTCAAACTCAGAGATCCACATGCCTCTGCCTCCCAAGTGCTGGGATTAAAGTTGTGAGCCATATGCCCATGCCCCCCAAAAAAATATTTTAAATTTTTTCCCCCTCAGACAGGGTTTCTCTGTGTGTAGCCCTGGCTGTTTTGGATCTCACTTTGTAGACTAGAGATCTACCTGCCTCTGCCTTCCAAATTCTGGGATTAAAGGTGTGCACTGCCATGCCTGGCTAATTCTTTATATATATATATATATATATATATATATAATTTTTAATTTTTAATTTTTTTTATTTTTATGTGAATTAGTGGTTTTACCTGATGTATGTCTGTGTGAGGGTGTCAGATCCCCTGGATCTGGAGTTATAGACAGTTTTTAGCTACTGTATGGTTGCTGAGAATAGAACCCGGGTCCTCAGGAAGAGTAGCCAGTGCTCTTAACCACTGAGCCATCTCTCCAGCCCTAATCTTTTAATCTTTAAACTACGTGTTCCCCACCAGTTCTTATGACATACCAATCGGTCTGTGTTTATACAGTTTTTCAGAGGTAATAAGCCTTTGCAAAGTGGCTGAATGGAGTCAGAGTGCAGAGAGGCAAACAATATGCCAATCTTAACCCGTGAGTCTACATTCCTGGTTACGAACACGTGGCGTGGGGGGTTGGAAATACTTCCTCTTTCACCGAAGGCTCTCTGGCTTCCTCACCCCACAGCTGAGAACTCGTGGTTGCTACTCAAATGCAACAGGCTCATACAGGATTCATACGCTGGAGCAAAGCAACTCACTTATTGGTTTTGAGGTCAAAAGCTTCGACTGAAGCTGAAAGGCCATCTTCCGTGACACCTCCCGCGATCACAATTTTGCCTTTATGGATTGCCACTCCAAACATGGAACGAGGGGTTTTCATTGGAGCCAGATCTTTCCAGTCTCCTTTCTTGGGGTTGTAGATAAATACCCTGTTTGTACACTTTCTGTGAACGTAAAAGACAATAAATGTTCTTTTAAGAACCTTCTGTGAAAGCAACTGTAATGAGTCACTGCTATTTCTGAGTATGTAGTACTTCATTTAAAGGAAGCTGGGGCAGTTTAGGGCAAGGGGTGTAGCTTAGTGCAGAGTGCTAATGAGGCATGCGTGAGGCCTTGAGTTCAAACCCTGAAAAAAAAAAAGGTTTTCTCAATGAGTCTAGCCTATATAAGACCCATATTAGAAAAACCATTGCGACTGTAGATTACATAAGTAATCATGTAGGCTGATTAATGATGAGAAGTTTTATTTGCTTAATTGCCAGCAGAAACACTTGGACTCATCCAAAATATTCTCAGGATGGGCCAGGATAGGTTTCTTGAAGTTGGCCATAACTGATCAATAGTTCTGAATTCCCAGTAGTAAACAGTTTGGTAATGCCAAGGGCAAAAAAAAAGACCAGATGTAAACATTTCCTTTAAGACTTGACTATGGCAAGGTCTTGGTGAGAGCAGAATAGAAAATCATGTCCACTAGGGGCAATTCAGTGTGTCCCCCCAGTCTCCCACCAAGCACTTGGAATTGCCCTTAAGTGTGAGACCCAGGCCTGGCTCCACGTACTTGGGATTGGACTCTAGGCCGTCCATGTTCTAGAAAGTGCCATCGAGCTACACCTCAGCCTCAGCCCTACTTTTAGCTAATGATTCATTTCAAAGTTCTTGACTTTGACATTTGCTAGGCAATGCTGTCTAGGTAATAAGATTCTTGAGATTAATATGTTATTTCTGGAAGACATGACTGCTTACTAACATTGACTTTCTGGCTACTAATGTTATTGAAGTAAACGATTTAAATCATTTTGGCAGAATTCCAATGTTCCCACAATCATAATGCACTTAATAGAGATTGTTCATTCCATTTAATCAGAGAGAAAATCCATGTACATCCTTAATTGTTTGTTTGATGGAAAAAGCAAAGATTAAGGAAGAGATTTCATTTCAGGATATACACTCTTTGAATATGGAGGGACAGAATTTTAAAAAATCTTTGCCTGTTAGGTCACATTTTCTGTGCTGTATTATCATTTTAATTGAATAAAACTAACTCCAGAATACAGAGATCTTTGCTTGACACAGGACTTCATGTTTTACTTTCTTTTTGGTACAACTGTGAAAGAAAGGGTCAGTCAGCCCCCAGAGGGGTCGTGACTCACAGATTGAGAACTCCTGGCTTAAAAGCCAAGATGCATCCATACATGATGAGATGATGTGTCCTGGTTTTCTCACAAGGGACTAGCTCCAAGTAGCGAGTGGGAGACCTGAGAGGGATAACTCTCTCTTGCTGGAGAAATAACTGTGCTCCTTTCAGTTACTGTGCCCTTCAGTTTCAAATGGATATGAATTCTCTCTCATGCACATAAAGTACAAATCCACATTGTTTTTGTGTACTTTTTGCTAATGGATATAGCTCAATGCCACGTTAAAGAGTACGTGGAACCTTTTTCTCCACTGGCGCTAGAGAGATGGCTTAGCAAGTAGGGGTGCCTCTGCCCCTTCAGCCTGATGCCCTGGGTTTGGGCCCTGGATCCCACATGGGGGAAGGAGAACCAGCTCATCAGCGCAGCCTCCTGAGCTCCATCTATGTGCTTCGGGAAGTGCGCCCCGCACTATTTATACACGCACAAGAACAATATCAAAATAAAAACCTTAAATGCTAATCTACGTCTGTTTCACTGACTAGGTCGTGCTGTGGTGGAGTGTGGCTATAAAGCAGCTAAACAGAGAATGGACTGTGCCCCAGGTGGCGCTCTCCCACCATCAGGGTGCTTGTGGTTGAGGTATGGTGCTCATTCCTATCTATTTGGCCTAGTGACTTTAAAACATTTTTTTTTTCTGCGAAAAATAATTACAATTCCCTCTAATAACTTTTCACAATTTTATTTGCGTTTTTATCTGCGAGATATGACATTGAGAGAGCCAAGTCCCGTTTCAGTAAGTAGTCTCAGAGAAGAAACCCTTGCAATACTCACGTGAATGTAACTCAAAAGGAAGCTTTAGGGCACTTACTTGTCGTCTGTCTTTCCGCCTAGACAGTAGATCATCCCATTATGTGAAATCACATTATGGCCATAAACTTTAATAGGGAGATTTTTCACTTCACTCCATTTCGCAGCCCTGGAATGAGATGATGATAGGATTTCTGTCCCAGCCGGTGAAAATGTGACTTTTTAGTAGGCATGCTTACGGAGCACAGACATTGTGGGAATGTGATGTCAACTTACACAGGGTCATAGCACAATACGGAATCCAGAGAAGCCTCTGTCTGAAGGTCTTTGCCGGCCACCACATAGATTTTGCCATCTACTTCTCCCAGACCAAACAGACACCTGGCTGACGGCAGCGGTGGGAGTCCCACCCACTCAGACGTTATGCTGTCAAGCTGAAGAGAAAACATGAGTTATGGGGATTGGTAGAACAATGTTACCAGGCGTAGCCGAAATGGACTCGAGATTTCATGTACTGTTCAAAATTTACAGAGATGGTGGAAGATCTTGCAAAACTATAATCCTAAAGTGGAATATTTTAGCTCAAAATGTCTAAAAAGAATGAGAAAACCTGCTTGGCTCATGAAAAAAAAACAAAACCAAAGCCTAAACTCCCAAAAAGACTTCAAGGAAAAAAAAAGAGAGAGGGAGGGGGAGAGAGAGAGAATAAAATAGAATTGCTAGGTTAGGTAGAACTGTGAGGTTTCTCGTCAATTTTTCCCTGGTGGGGGGGGTTTTCCCTTAAGGTTTTTTTTTTTTTGATCCTTGTTTTTTTGTTCCTTGTTTTGAAACAAGGAATCTTAACACGTTGGAGGCACCGGGGAAAGGCCGGCTGTCTGGCTCACAGCACACCAATGAGCCCTGCATGCTATATTTAACGCACTCCCACAGCTGCACTTGTCGCTCAGTCCGCAGACAACTGAGAGGCTGGGCGAGAGCACTTTTTCCGTCTCTTAAACATGCCTCGGCTCCTTCTGTTTTATTGTTTTGGGTACAGGAAAGACTCATTTCAATACCCTTGTCTTGGGCAGAGCCATCGTAAATACCCTCTTTCTGGCTTACGCTAAGAAGTGACTCGCCTTGCTGCCCTGTCGGCGCCACGCTCTGGACTAGGCCCCTCTCGTCTGCCCGGCCTTCAGTTTGGCACTTACGTTCTAAAGCCTTCACACGCTCCTTTCTGCATTTTAGGGCAGCCCTGCCGAGGGGGCTCTGAGAGGGGCAGCTGCGGCTTCCTGTGCCAGGTAGCAGAGGGGAAATGCTCCAAACTGGGGTTCACTGTGAACCTAGGACAGCCAGGAGGAGGGGCTTCTGTGGAAGTCTTTCTGTCTCACTGGCCAGCAGTGCCAGTGAAAGTTCTGGGACCAAAGGACACCCGTGACCTAGGGCTCATCCCCGGGTGCCCAGGGTCAGCTTTGCAGTCACTCGTTTCCGCATCTAGATTGTGACTGTAATGTTTTCATTCTTGAAAAACAAAACGAAACCCTTCTGGTCAAGAAGGTGTTGTAGGGCTAAGGGTATGTAGCTCAGGGGATTCCTAACACAGCTGGTGTGTGTGTGCATGTGTGGAGTCCTCTGTGACAGAGGAGAAATAACAATAAACACTGATAGAAGTCTCACTCTGTGAAAAGTTCTGAACAAAATGCGCAGAATGTAATCTCACTTGGCTGCCCGACAGGCACAGAGAGGTTAAATCACTTGCCTGCCTTCACATGGCTTTTTAGGTGGTTTTCAACACCACACTCTCTAATAAATCTATAGGTGTTTTCTTGTTTGTTTGAGACAGGGTCTCATGTAGCTTGGGTACTTTTTTTTTTTTTTTTTTTAAATGGATCAACAGCTTATCACAGTCCCAAAGCTCCCGTGCAGATATGCAGTACCAACCTTCCCATCTTACCCCGGGAACATTTTCTATAGCGCTGGATCAATAGGTTGCCAGGCAGCCCCCTTAGTGGCTGAGCTCTCAGGCTGTTTAACCTGTCTAGACCCCACTTGCCTTGCTGTTAAAATGAGGGTTTATACCTAGAATAGCTCGCAGCTTAGTGCGGTCTAAAACCTGATCAATCTGTTAACTCCACGGAAGAGGGGAATCTTAATGAGGCCAGAAATTCCCACTGTCTGTCTGTAGCACATGCCAAATGTGAATTCGCTCTGAACTTAATACATGCAGCCAAGCAGGAAAAAAAAAAAAAAAAACAAAAAAAAAAACCCTAAAATCCGCATACAAAGCTCTTTTTTATGATTTTTAATTCAGTTCTACATTTGTGCCTTTTAGAAGTAGCGAGAAAGGTGCCCTTGTCTCATGCTCAGACATATAATCTCATTTGGAAACTGATGCATAATAAAGATAAAAGGAAGTAATAGGATGGAGAGAAAAAATATTAAAATGAGTACTTGAAAATAAAGAGGGTGTGGACTCTGGATATATTTTTAAAAGGTGTGTGTGTGTGTGTGTGTGTGTGCATGTATGTGTGCCTGTGTGTGTGTGTGTGTGTGTGTGTGTGCTTGTGCAAACTCTTAACAGTGAGCTAGGTCCCCAGCCTTATAGTCAGCACACTAATATAAAGTGGAATAAGCCCGCAGGGGTGTTGAGACTTAGTCTATCCTGTAACTGTTCCCTGAAGCTATGGTTATATGTCTGTCTGACCTGTCTGTCTGTCTGTCTGTGCCTACTTATCCATTTGTGGTTTGATATTTTTTACTTCCCAGATACACTTACAATCTTTTTCATTGAATTTGCCATTTCTAAAGTTAATCTGAATTTGAAATTAGGGTTTGGGGAGATTTCTGAGTCAGATCCAAATACTTTTGCTAGTGTCTTTCACTAGAACTTAGAAAATCAAGAACCGTGATTAGTATACATCATAATGACTGCATTTTTCTGACATGAGAGCAAGCTGGTGATAGGTAGGATTTTGTGAACACATGGTGTGTTGTGTATTTTGAGAGCATGTGGTGACTGTGGTATGACATTCTACCCTTGCTTATCTCTGGTCTTCCCAATTTAGGTACCTGAAAACCCCAGGCCACAATTAGTCAGGAACTAAACAAATTCTCACTGATCTAACCCCAACTCACAAAGTATTGGTATTGGCAATACTGAAGGTTCAGGGTTCAGTCACCGAGTGACTGCAAAGTACAGCGCATCAATGGTATGAAGCAAATTCTCCTCAAATAAACTAGAAAGGGTTGGTTAGTTTAGGGGGATTTTGCTTTCCTGGAAGTTTTTATGGTTACACCAAACAGATAATTAAGTTATAATGATCTACCTCTCAAATCAAATAAATGTAACATCATAGACAATGTCTTCTAAATGCAATTCAAGTGTGACACTTGTGGAGACAGATTTTTTTTTTTTTTTGGCACAATCCAAGAGTCATTTTCTTCAATAAAATCTTTAATACAGTAACAATAAACAGGAAATGAAATGCTACTTCCCTAAACTAGCTCCAATTAAAGGGAAAAAGAAAAGCAGACAAATCCCAACTTCCTTGCAATGTGTAAAGCACTGTGTTATAGGCAAATAACTTTAGGAAAAGATCCTAACCTATTTATCTGGTAATAGTGTTAAAGATTATAAACTCAGTTTTTTTACCAAAAATACTGAGCTCTGAAAGATTAAAATTACCAGCAGCTACCTAAACAGCATTGGAGTAAAAAGAGTGGAAAGAAAAGAGTGAGTTAGGTATAACGACTCCTTCACCACACCTTTTTATTAAATATTGTCTTATTAAATAGTAAGTATTTCTGCCAACACTCTTAAGTATCAGAGTTAAGAGGGCACAGGAGGTTATCAATGTGAGCAATATGTAAGCAGCCCCCCCCCCCCCCCCCCCAAACAATCACAAACTGGCTAGGGATGGCGAATCCGGCCTCTGCCTCCTTACCTGGAAGAAGTATGACTGCAGGGGCTGATCCTTGTTTTCCTCGTCCACGTACAGCCCCCCGACCACGTAGATCTGGTTCTGCTGGGTAACGATACTGGAATGATTTCTGGGAATCTGCTCCGCTAGGGCGGTGAGGTAACACTCATTTTCCGTGGGGTCATAGGCCACGGCGGCTGTGTCGTTGACCAGGAGGATGAGGTCTTTAACGAACATCCCGTGCCTGGGAATATCGTTCAAGTAACCGGGAAGTAGGTCTTCGTCGCCAACGTCACCGTTCATCTCGCCCGCCCCCGCCTTCTCGGCATTTTTGCTAGGTTCTGGGAGTTTGCCTGCGAAGGCATCCTTCAGAACCTTGATTTTTTTCTGGATCTCCGGGTTGCTCTTAATTATGTCGTCCTTTTCAACATGGTCTTTGAAGTACTTTTCGGCCATGAGGCGAAAACGAACGCAATCGAACACCTCGCTGAGGCTCTTCGCCCTGTTCTCTTTGTCCGTCCGCACCCACTTCATCACTGCCTCGAACACCACCTCCTCCTTCTCCACGTTGAGGCTGTCGTTGGAAATGACGGAGATGAGCTCCTGCGGGGACAGCTGCAGGAAGTCTTCCTCCTTGGAGATCTGCAGGAAGCGGTCCGACACGAACTCCCGGGCGGAGATGGCAAGCCTCGGGCAGTCGAGGAGAAGCCCCAGCCGCAGGATGGCCAGACAGTTGCCGGGAGCCAGTCTCTTCTGCAGGTAGGACACGCAGACGGTGAACACGGACGGGATCTGGAAGCGGCTGGACAGCGCGAAGATGTCCTGCACGTTTCCGTCGTTGAGGTCGATACTGGCCGAGTACAGGTATTTGATGATCAAGTCGAGGATGGCGGGGTCCACGTTCTCAAGCGCTACCTCCTTTTTCTTCTCCTCCTCAATTTCCGATAAAAAGTACTCACGGAAGTAAGGGCTGCAAGCGGACAGGATCAGTCTGTGGCAAGGAAGGTTCCTGTCACCCGCTTTCAGGGTGCAGTCGATGAATTTTTTCTCTTCCAGGAGATCTTTTAGACCATCCTGAAGAAGGGTGGACTGGTAAAGCCGGAGTTCCTCCGCAAGCTCCCGCTGGGAATCCATCCTGTGAGGAACCTGGATAAGGAAGAGGACACTGAAGGTCTTCGCTCCTTGCTGCACACAGGTCTAGCTGTAAAAAGGCAGATCAGTGTGCCCTGCGCAGCCTGAAGCCTTTGCAATCTAATCCCACCGGCTAAATATAGACACCGGCTCTACCAACCGGAATTTAGGAGAGCTGGTTTGGAAAGGAGTGTTGTTCAGCTGTCTGAGATTGAAAGTAACAACTGGAACTTCTGGTCAATAAGGAAAGTGCTAAGAAACAAGACGTTCAGGTGAGGCCGAAAGCTTTGAAATATAGAAAACCTTGGAAGATACGCTAATAAAGGGCGTCCGCAAGAAAATGCTTACTGAACTAATAGGAAAAAAAAAATGGATCATAAAAATGAGTCACTCCTCTAAAAATGGCCTAGTGTCAAGCTACTTGGCTATCTGAAATAATGATGCCAAGGTCAAGAATACGAGGTGAGTTCATTTTAATTCTCATAAGCAGTGAGTGTTTAAAACACAAAATGTCACTTTCTATTCAAAACAGAATTTTCTTTTCCAAGTAGGCAACATAATGTACTTATTTTTATATACTTATTTAATGAACTTTTAAATGATACCTCCATCATAACTGAAATAACAGATTCAAAGAAACTTAATTTTCTAAAATATTCTAAATTATATCTATCACTAGGTGGGAAAACTAATTACTACTGAATTATCAAATCCATTCACATTCTATCTTGCCATACAAGGGATGTGAAGTAACAATAATAAAAATAAGATAAAAGACAAAGTTTAAACTCAGTCCTCATGTGAATAGATGAGCTGGGATGTCTGGGTAGGGGGACTCCCATATTCTGAGGAATAAGAAAGAAGGGATTCAGGAGAGCGAGTGGGACTGGGAAGAGAGGAGGAAGGAGCCTATGACTCAGATGTAAGTTGAATTATTAATAAAAAATAGACATTAAAAAAAGGCAAAAGTTAAAAAAAGGAATCAAGACCAAAGAAAAACAGTTAAGTCTTTGGGGAAAGAAAAGACTCACATACATAGTAGGAATATTTTGTGACTTTAAGTGCTGAAGTGTACCTTTCACAAAGTAAAAAGTTTAAAAACAGAACAGATGTATCCTATGAGAAAAATGCTTTCCCCAAAGAGTAAAATCAGGGTTGAGCTACTGTATCATCTAGAACATGGAGAAAGCAGACATTGTTAAAGAAAATGTAAAGCTGGAGTCATAATTTACGCTGTTGATAATGGAACACCAACTGGAATGAAGACACGGTTTCAAAGAACTCATCCAGGCATAGTGGCACACACCTGTGATCCTGTGAGGCAGAGGGCCAAAAATCATCCTCAACTACACAGTGAATTTAAGGCAGTCTGGGCTCTGTGAATAGACCCTGCACTTCTCCCCCAACTGTCCCTTCATTTATATCTAGATGGCATTATAAACATTTTCAAGTCCTTTGTTACATTCTGAACTTAGCAGAGCTGTGAAGATGCTAAAGTTTCAATGGCTGGTGCTCTTAAATGTGCCCCCAGATGGAAGCTCAGTGAAGGCCTGCCTCTTGTGTTGAGGGTCTGTGTGTTCATTCTATCTAGTCCTTAGACCTCATGGATGCTCTGTGAATATTTGTTGAATGAGCAAATATCCCTAAATCAGGGAATTATGTATTTTCAAGCTTTAAGGTGTCTTTCCATACAGGGCATTTTTTTTTTTTTTTCTTTTCTATCACAGTGAGTTGATGGTACGGCCAGCTGCTGGAATGACAGCTGAAGGGAGAACTCCCTGGTTCTTTTTCCATTTATAGATGTCATTAAAGGTTTTAACACACTGGATGAAGCTAACAGCTGCTCTCCTTGATAAACAATAAATGATTCATTTCTCTCCACACGTAACACCTAACATTTGAAGAGATTAATGAGTCAGATGCAAACACCAGGGTATGACGTTTAAAATTATTCTTTGTTGGTGGGTCATTTTAGCATCCCGTCTGCTCAAATACCAGTGAGCAGTGTTTAGTTTATGGCATTTTATTTGTAATCTCTAAATATTGATTATTATACATATCCATTAAGTATACAGAAACCTTTCATTTAAATGAAGAAACCCATGTGTAGCTTTTTTCATCAATTTTTAATGAATCAGGGCAGCACTAGGTTGTAATGAATGTTTGTTTATGATTGTACATTACGTCTTATTTTAAATGTATTTATGTGTTCATTTCTTTTTCACTAATGAAAATGGCTGCCTTTGGCTAAGTAGTTGTTTTAAGATTTCATGAATGTTTTTAGACTGTCATTATAGCCAAAACTCAGTTTAAAATGAATGACATCAGAAAGGTCTGCCCATGTTATCTGAGCAATCTTCAAAGGAGTCTCAGTGTATATAAACAAAGAGTCAGTGAGTGAACCAAACAATTTCCTTATAAAGCAAAATACATTCTTGCCAAAGCCATCATGACATTTATAGACCCGCATTCTGCAGTGATATATATAATTAAAATGTTTAGTTTTTACAAAAACGAACCCCTAAAAATGATATGTTTAAAAACTATAATTTAGGAAGCTTCAGAAGCAGGCATATCTTTGAGTTCAAGGCTAGCCTGGTTTACATAGTGAATTCCAGGATAACCAGACTGCATAGGAAGACACTCTCAAAACAAACAAGCAAACAAACAAATAGAACTATGATTTGAATTACAGTTTTACATTTAGAGTCCTGTGATAAAATATATTTTAGCCAGGTTTGTAGTTTATAAGTATTTGATTATTTTTTTAAGACTTATTTTTTTAAATAATACTTTCAAAACATTAGGTGGTGCTGCATAAAAATCTTTATTAAATCCAACATGATACACTTAATATCTGAGAATCAATATTTTACAGGTATTAGGTATAATATAAACATTTATAAACCAGGTACATTTCAGTTACAATTTCAAATATGATTTTTAGAAAGCTGGGAGTTTTCTAAAATTAAGGAGCTTTTCCTTAATTAGTAAAAGCTTTCCTTAAAACATAAAATATAAAAGCAATAAATATAAAAATTATTTCATGCCTATAGCAGGCAGTGGTATCTTTTAATCTTGAGATATCGTTAAATAGAAATCCAGCTCAACTCAAGATCAACTCATCACTTCCCAAAGTCCCTGTAGTGTGAATCCATCCTTCAATTTCTCTATTGCAAGCCCCAGTTCTTCTGAAAACACAGGTTCACGATCTTGTTGCTTTGGGGTAGGTAAGAACACGGTGAGAAGGGAATAGAAGGTAAACAAGAAAGAGGAAAAAAACAAAAAATGTTTCACTAAGTTAGTGAATGCTAAATGCTGTAATATTGAAACTTAAAAAAAAAAAAAATCAACTATAGGTAAATGTCCTTACCTTATTTCCATCAGCAAAATAAGCCTATAAGAAAAAAAAAAAAATGGTATTTTACATGTTTCATACAAAACAAATCAGGGGCCTAAGGAACAGGTAATTTTCAGAAAGATTTAGTAGCTATATTCTTTTCATATATGGTTACTGTGCAGTTAATAGTTTCTCTATAATGCTGCCATCAACACATTTCTTGTGAGAGCACAGGCCCTTAAGCCCAGAACTCGGGAGGCAGAGGCAGGTGTGAGGTCAGATTAGTTTACACAGTGAGTTCCCTCAGGTAGGGCTACACTCTAAGATGCTGTTTCAAAACAAAACATGTAGTGGTGACCCAGACCACGACATTATTTCATTGCTATTTCATAACTGTAATCTTGCTACTGTTATGAACTGTAATGTAAATATCTGATATGCAGGATCTCTGATATACAACTCTTGTGGGGGCATGATCCATGAGCTGAGAACCACTGCTCTAAGCAAACAGGCTTTCTACCTGATGTACAGCATCATTAGCCTGAAAAGAAACAGAAGGTTTCTGGATCGTAACATGACTTCTCTGCTGCTTTAGAAGACGATGGCAGAACAGGAAGGAAGGCTGGCATAGTGGCCACAATCCCAGCACATGAATTTGGAGGCAGGAGGGTCAAGAGTTTAGGACCAGGGGCTGGAGAGAAGGCTTAGTGAGCTAAGAGCAAGCACTGCTCTTCCAGAAGTCTTGAGTTTACTTCTCAAACCTGTATCAGGCAGCTCACAACCACCTGTAACTCCAGCTCCCGGGGATCTGAGGCTGCTGGTCTCCAAGAGCACTTGTATTTATGTGCACATAATGACACACAAACATACACAAAAACATAATTTAAAAAGTAATAAAATTTAAAAACTAAAGGTCTGGTGGACACAGGCATTTGGTGCCTGGGACCACGTGATAGAAGGAGAGCCCTAACTCCTGAAAGTTGTCCGAGGACCACCACAGGTCTTCCCCAACCCCAACAAAACAAGTAAGTATAAAACAAACCACAACAAACAAAAAGGGTCAACAAAACAACCAGAAACATATCGACCCAAAGTAGTTATCACTTCAGGGTGTCAGTACTCAGTTGGAATAGTTCATGATTAACTATTTTCTGCCAATTTCATGTCTTTATTAGAAACTATCTGTTACTGGATGGATTGCATGTGTAATGGTCAGATTCATAAGACCATAGGATATGGAAAGATTAGAAAGCATCATATTACTTATTTTTTTTGAAACAGGGTCTCACTATGTAACCCTGTCTGCCTGGCTGTCCTGGAACTTGCTCTGTTGATTTGGCTGGCTTTGAACATAGAGATCCTCCTGCCTCCACCTCCTTAGTGCTGGTGTTAAAGGCTGTGCTCCCACACCCAGCCCAACATTACTAATATGTTGGCTAATTAAATTATACCTATTTGGAAACAGAACAGTATATTGTTCAAATACACATAGTTCTAAGATAATGTAAATTAAAGAAAAATCATTTCATAAAGGTGAATTCAGTAAAGACTAAGTATGCTAGTTAACATGCCACAGATCAAATCCTCTAAATAACTTCTCAAACTCTTTCCAAGGTTGGGAATTTAAAAGTATTCTCACAAAAGAAATTCTCTCACTTAAAAAAAAAGACAAAAACAAAAACAAAAACAAAAAAAAACCCCTCAACTCATGTCAAAAGTATCAGGTTTTACAACATTTTATACAGTTATACCATTACTAATTAAACATGACTCAGATACACATCACCAGAAACCTGACAGCTCTTTTTGGTGCTCACCACAAAAGCATCTGTGTGATCATCAGAATCTATTTCCACATCATCTTGAATTTGTTCAACAGTCAGAGCTTCAAGGGGCTGTGGCTAGAAATTAAGATGTCAGAGTCAATATTAAACAAACTGCTTTAGGAAAACGTGCTGTGAGAACTGCAAATACTTGTAAGGGTACATAGTGCAAACCACCCAAACCATTCTGTAATTTATCTACTCCTGTTAAAACTAGCTTGAGTTGTAAAAGCTTCACATTTGAAGTCAGAACAATCCAAACAGGAAATGTGTATCTATTCAATGTACTTAGACATGGTCTTAAAAGAAAAAACTCTTGATTCAACTGCTGTTCTTTCAGACAGAAAGGGGCTAGTCAGAGAAGGCTACCCTGAAGAACGTGGAAGGCAGCTGAGAAGTGAACAAGTGGCTGACCAGGGCTAGTTAGAGAGGAGCTGTGGTCAAAGGAGAGAAGAAATGAAAGCCAGACAGGACAGGAAGAGGAACAATGCCACCACGTGTCTACTGTGAACCCTGCATTTATGTACACATAGCTGTGAGGTCATGTACATGTAGAGGTGAGGCTCTGTATGTGTGGAGGTGAGGGCATGTACGTGCAGAGGTGAGGTCAGGTACATGTAGAGGTGAGGAGGCTATCTGCATTTAATAATGAGAACCGTGAAATTGAAGATGCCCAGTGAGTCTGGAAATGAAAGTCAGGTTCCAAAGACTTTGCTGATTTTACATCATTCCTCAAGTAGCAGCAGCAGAAGCAACTGCAGTCTGAATGGAAAGGAAGGGATTGGCACAGGGATGACTGGAAGAAAAACCCCAATATTTTGAGCACAGCTACCTTTGGCATTGCTAGAGACAATTAAGAAATCCTCAGTCAGCAGAACACTGCATCTGAGAAAGACACAGGCTGCTCTTAAGCAATCTCTGCCTGAGGTCTAGTAGATCTACTGACTTGGGTAATGAAATTATGAAGCTAAATTGTGAAGTAAGAAATTCAGTTTTAGGGCTGGAGAGATGGTTAAGAACAGCTGCTGTTTTAGAAGCATGAGTTTAGTTCTCATATCACTTGGCTCACAACTACTTATAACTCCAGCTCCAGGGTACCCAATGCTATCTTCTGGGCTCTGAGGGTACCTGCAAATACAACCACATGCCCACACGTAAATAATAACTTACTTGGAGACAAGGTTGCACTACGTAGATAGGCTGCCCTGGAACTTGTGTAAACTAGGCTGTCCTTGGACACACAGAGACCCACCTGTCTCAGCCTCCTGAAGGCTGAGATTAAAGATATGCATCCTGCATGTAATAAAATACTTTTAAAAAATTAAAAGCAATTCAATTTCAGGCCAGCACTCTTGCTCTATGGCTTGTTGCAAAGCCTGATGACCTGAGTTTGATCCTAAATCTCCAGTCCTTTTGTGGGAGAACCAACTCCCCTAAAAGTTGTTCTTTGACTTCCACACACCTATACATACATGCACATATACAAATAATGTGTTTTTCCAAATAATAAAAATTTGTATCTCTACTATTTATTTATCTATGTGACAATATTCAAGAGTGCTTGGATCAGAACAGTAGATGTACAATACAAGGCATCTCAAATATCTAAGTTAAAGAAGCTGGAGGGCTAGAGAGGGAGCGGTGTCTCAGCATGATGGGCTGTCCCTGGACCCTCATGATAGGACAGAGCGGATTCTTGAAAGTTGCCATGTTACCTCCACATATGTACCATAGCACACATACACAAAATGAATAAAAACTAAAGATGATGCTGGAGCAGCTAGTGGTATTGCTGAGGAATATGCAGAGAAGGGAGAGTAAAATGCCTCTTTGAAGTCAGAGGACATGAATTTCCTAGTGCCTAGCCTGCTTCCTGGTTCTCTTGGGCTATCTGCTGTAGTGTGAGAGCAGAGAAGATGGAAGACATAGTGATACAGTTCAGCAGTTTGTGTGCCAGCAAGAATACCGATGAAAGCGGATGGCCAGGACACAGCCATTAGGGTATGCATTGGGGCCCTAGCAAGGGAGCAGAGAGCAAGAGAACCTGTGATAGCGTGGTCAGTGATGGGACTGAAGCAGGGGAGCATCAGAGGTAGAGCCTGGGGCAATGGTACCCGCATAGACAGTGAGGATGCTAGTAACAGATCAGATGATGAGGGTTGCAGACCAAAAGAAAGCTGATGTACCCGGGGAGTCGGAGTAGGGATTGATACCACAACCAGAACAGCTGATGAAGATATGACACTCAAAAAAAAAAAAAAAAATTCAAAACTAGTTGGGCACAGTGTATGTGGTCTGAGATCCTAGCACTATAGATGCTGAGTCTAAGGTAGGTAGGAGCTTGAAGCCCAGACTGGCAAAACAAAAACAAAAACAAATAACACACATACACACAGAAACAAACAAAAAACCCAAACAAACCAACCCAACTCTAACTCAAAACCAAGAAAATAGCCAGACAGCAAACAAATGAAAGAACAAACAGAAACCTATAAAATGTCTCCAAACTATCAAGCTAGAGGCACTAATTAACAGGACCGAGATGGGCCATATTGATGAAGCAGATTCAGGGTTTGCTGCACTGTGGACAAGAGGGAATAGGATGATGTCCATGAAGCCTTTAAGGTTTGTCCACACTAACAGGGAGGTGGCGGCCTAAAACTAAAGTAGATAAAATGACAGACTCAATTCTGTCTACATCAGAGGAGCCACGTACACGGGAGCTTATCTGACCAGGCTGTTTACCAAGGCTGGGCACCGAGGAATGAGAGATGAAGCAACCAGTTACAAGACAGTAATAGTCACCAATTAGAGATGGCTAGCCTGAGGCCATGCTCACGTGACTAAGGTCTGCATATGTTTAAAGTTTATACACAGTGAACTTACTTTTGAATTTCATAAGTAGTGTGAAAGTAATTCAGCAAACTCTATATCATCAATATTGAACAAATTACCTTTTCTTCCATTTCATAGTTCACTCCAAATATTGGATTGGCAGAATACACTTTGTGAAGTGAGTTGATCTCCTTAACTGATTCCTGTAGTTTTTCCACGGGGTCTATTTTAAAGCCAAGAACGTATCCTCCACTCTGTAAGAAAAAATAATGAAAAAACAAAACCCAAGCCTGAGGAACAATACCTACAGGATGGGACAGACTCAGTCTAAGCCCTTGCTTGGAGTATCACATCTAAGCCACTCCAAAGAAATTAAACTCTCTGCTCTGAAAATTTCAAACATAAGAACGAAAGAGTACAGTGAGCCTCCAGGGGGTCATGGAAGAGCAACTCATCTCTCTAGCTTCTCTCCCCAAACCCTGCCTCCCTCATATCCTGAAGTATGTCCAGACTGCACACAACTTCATTTTTAAACACAAGCTCATCTTCCCAGATGAAAAAGTATGCACACTAGAGCATGACAGACAGAGGAACTAAGTTCTTTTGGACTAGGTCTTGAGAAGGAATAAACTATCCATTAAAAAATGCTCTGTTTGCCAGGCGTGTTGGCGCACACCTGTGATCTCAGCATTTGGGAGGCAGAGGCAGGCAAATCTCTGTGAGTTTGAGGCCTGCCTGGTCTACAGAGTGAGTTCAGGACAGCCAGGGCTACACAGAGAAACCCTGTCTTGAATAAAATAACAACAAAAAAGGTATGTTTGAAGCCATCTCCTTGAAGGGTTTGGAAAGCATCTTGACTCTGACTGACTGCAGGCTGGAAGAAAGAAGTGGGTTTGTTTGTTAGCATAGTTTTGAGAAGTGGAGCGCCGGGTAGCGGTGGCACACAACTTTAATCTCAGCACTCAGGTCTCTGAGTTCGAGGCCAGCCTGGTCTACACAGGGAGCAGGACAGCCAGGGACACACAGACACCCTGTCATAAACAAACAAACAAGAGGAAAGAGCATATATATGTTTGGGTTCAATGCTGAATCAACAGCTGGTTTTGGACAATATTCTTTCCTTACTCTTTCTAAGTCCCATTTAAAGACAAACATGAAATAGTTATCCAATGATATCTTAAACAGGATAAAGTAAAGCACATCCTGCTGGTACAGTTCCTAGGACATATAGTGGGTAGTCAGTAAATGGGAAAGAGAGAGTTGTCATTCCTCTTTATGTTTAGAAGTGACTTTATAACTGTCCCCTTCTTTTGAAGGAAGAGTGGTTGTTGAGTGCACTGTACTTAACACTGTACTGTACACTGTAACTAGAACAGTGCCTCTGACGACTCACTTCAAGAATTGTATTTGGGGGCATGTTTGTCCATGTCTGACACCTCGGCACTCAGAAGGCAGAGGCAGGAGAACCAAAAGCTCAAGACCAGACTGGTCTACATGGAATTCAAGACCATAAATATTTAAATGTTTAAAATTTACTTCTGCAAAAACCACAGTAATGAATATGCAGCAATTTATAATTAGATACTGTTCAGTCTGTGATAAATCTCAGAGTATATATGCTTCTTGACATATCCCTGTTTCTCAAAGCAAGTGTGAATCAGACAAACCAGGGTGAAAATTACATCCCTAGCAGCTTCGAGACTCCAGGGAAGGCTCCTAACTCCTCCAGGCCTCAGTATCCTGGATTGTTGTGTGTGTAGAGAATGGAAAAACAGCTATCATTTCACAGAGTTATTACATTGAGATAATGTATGAAATGTGTTGACCTAGTTCAGTGATTTCCCTCATAATTACAGTAAATCATAATGATAACAATGGATACATTCATCTAATCAGCAAGCCGGCAGTGTGATATGGTGGCTCACACCTATAATCCTAGCACTTTGGAGGCTGGGACAAGAGACTCCTGGGTTTGTGGTCACAAACATACATAGGTAGAATTCTTCCTACGGAGACAGTTACTATAAGACTTCAACACTTCATAGATCTTCATGTTATAGCTGATATTCTTACAAGTAAACTGACTACTATAGAAGAATAACTAAAAACGTAGTCACATAGTTAAACATCTATCAGTTTAATAAAAATGTTAACATATCTTACCTGGGGTGGGGGAGGGGAGGACCAGGAGAGAGAACGGGAATTGGTGGGGGTCATCTCTGAGATAGGCGAGCCTCCTGGGAGTCTTTGGAGGTGACCCTAGCTGAGACTGCTAGCAGCAGGGGATATGGAGCCTGAAGTTGCCACCTCCTGTAGCCAGGGGCCACTCCCAGTGGAGGGAGGGGAACACCAACTCATCCATAAAACCTTCAACTCAAAATTTGCCCTGCCTACAAGAACTGTAGGGCTAAAGATGGAACAGAGATTGAGGAAATGGCCAACCAATGACTGGCCCAACTTGAGACTCATTCCATGGGGGAGAGCCAACCCCTGACACTATTAATGATACTCTGCTGTGCTTGCAGACAGGAGCCTAGCATAACTGTCTTCTGAGGGGCTTCAAGCAGCAGCTGATGGAAACAGATGCAGAGACTTCACAGCCAAACAATAGGCTGAACTCTGAGAGTTTTGTGGAGGAGTGGGAGAAGGACTGAGGGAGCCAGAAGGGTCAAGGAAACACAAGAAGACCTACAGAGTAAACTAACCAGGGCCCATAGGGGCTCACAGAGACTGAACCACCAACCAGAGAGCACACATGGGCTGGATCTAGGACCCTACACATACGTGGCAGATGTGCAGCTTGGTCATCATGTGAGTCCTCTAACAATGGGAGGAGGGGCTATCTCTGACTCTGTTGCTTGCCTTTGGATCCCTTTTCTGTAGCTGAGTTGCCTTGTCAGGCCTCAGTGGGAGAAGATGTGTGGACTTGATGTGCCAGGGTGGTTGGTACCTTCTCTGACAAAAAGGGGAGCAGGGAGTGACAGTGGGGACTGGGAGGAGAGGAGGGAGAGGGCCACGATCAAGCTGTAAGGTGATTAAATAAATATTTAAATTAATGGAAAAAAAAAAAAAACTTACCTGCTGGGAGCTTTCTATGACAAGAGCCAAACCAAATTTTGAATCTCTAATCTTTATTGAACGCTTTATAAAATGAAAAAGAAAAAAATTAAAATTTTTATTATCAGATAGTAGTAACTCTTTAATACATGTTTTAATTATGTATTGTGCTATGGTACTGGCTTTTGAAGCAGGGTCTCGTACTGTACCTCACAGGATGGCCTGGAACTAACTATGCAGCCCAGGCTGGCCTTTAACTCTGGGCAATCTTCCTGCTTTAGCCTCTTGAGTGTTTGGTCTATAGGTGCAAGCCACCATGCCCACTTTTGCAGAACTACTCTTCATAGTCTAAGAAGCAGAAACCCCTCTTTTACCCAAGGCTCATACTGATGACAGGTGGCAAACCAAAACACACAAACGACATCTCTGATGGGAAAAGCCATCGGATTCAGATATTCCCACCTCTACAGTCAACAGGTTTCTGAGTATTTTACACCAGAGGCTGATGATCTTCCAGCTCTGAGGCCCTGGTGTCTGCCCTGACTCCTAGAGCAAGACTGAAGTTATATGTATCATTCTGTTTCTCACATCCTGCCCTGGTTAGTTTTTTTGTCAAACTGATACATTACAGTCATCTGGGAAGAGAGCACCTCAACTGACAAATGCCCCCACCAAACTGGCCTGTAGGCAAGCCTGTGTGGCATTTCCTTAATTCACGACTGATTTGCGAGGGCCCTGTTCCCTGTGGGTGGTGCTACCCTGGGATGGTGGGCTGGGCTTCTAGAAGAAAGCAGGCTGAGCAAGCCATTAGGGAGCAAGCCAGTAAGCAGCACCCCTTCATGGCCTCTGCATCAGCTCCTGCCTCTAGGTTCCTCCCTGCGTCCCTGTCCTCACTTCCCTCAGTGATGGAGTGTGCTGTAGAACTATCAGCTCTAACAAACCTTTCCTCTCCCAACTGATTTTGCTCAGGATGTTTATTATAGCGACAGAAACCCTAACTAAGAGAGGGATTTGTAGCCGCTCATGCTGTGACAGATCTGACCATGTATTTTTGGGAGGCATGTTTGAACTTTGGGCTAGAAAGGCCATTAAGTGTTTAAAGCTTAACAGTCTGTTTTCTTTGAGAGCAAGTCAGTAAACGGCACTTCTTCGTGGCTTCTGCTTCTGTTCTCGCCTCCAGGTTCCTGTCCTAAATGCCTTTGATGATAAACTGTGATGAAATAAAGCCTTTCCTCCCCAAGTTACTTGTGGTCATGGTGGGTTTTATCACAGCCATAAAAAGTGAAGACAAACGGCAGTCCCTACCTATCTACCTGACTAGGTGCCACAAGCTGATAGACAGGACACATACAGATACAGACAAACAGGCATATACGGACACACACACACACACACACCGCTTGGGCCTGTGGTGTAGAGTCAGGGCAGTGGCTGAGGCTCGAGCTGAAGCTGGAGTATGACTACTACAGTGACAAGCCGTGATGTATCACATTGCAAGCTGTTTGGGTCAGGCTGAATTCATTCCAGAAGCCACATTTGGCAACTCTATTCTTCAGTAACAACAACAACAACAAAAAAATCTTCTATTTGGAGAACAGAAAGCACAAGGCTGTTTACTACTCGGGAATTATTCAGCATAACAGGGGTCAGGTTAGGTGAGCAACAGCCATACACATGAGCACAGAGCGGCAGAAAACATTGTGCATGTGGCATGGCACTGCAACCCCAACGCTTGGGAGGATGAAGCAGGAGGATTGCTATGAGTTTGAGGCCCAGCCTGGGTTACACGGTGAGTCCCATATTGGTCTGGACTATAGAGACCTGTCTCAAAAGCATCTCAAACTAAACTAAACAAAACCAAGTAAAGAACAACACAAACACCAGCTTGTCATATACCTGTGCAGACAGACATCACAGCTTCCCAGCCTTGATGACAAACTGTTTCTGCCTAGAGAGGGATCTCAGCGGTGGAGTACTTGCCTAATTTAGACAAGGTCGGAGTTCGATCTCCATCACCATGAACAAAACATACGATCATATTTCCTCCCTATTATTATTCATTTAATGTGTTGCTTCCTCTGCCAGAATGAAAACTCAACAGCAGGGCTGTGTGCTGGTTCGTAATTGTCTTGACTGTTCATCACTGAGCACAGAGTGACACTGTCTTAGGGTTTCTGTTGCTGTGAGAAAACACCATGACCAAATGCAACCTTGGGAGGAAAGGGTTTATTCCAGGGTACATGTCCTAATCATAATCCATCATGAAGAATAATCCGGGCAGGAGCTCAAGACAAGAACTGAAATAGAGGGCAGGAGGACTGCTGCTTACTGGCTTGCTTCTTTTCCCCAGTGTTTATTTATGCATTTGATCAAGTGTGTATGTCACACATGTGGCTTTGGGACAGTGGTTCTCAACCTGTGGGTCACGACCCCTTGGGAAAGGTTGTCTTTTCACAGGCATTGACTAAGACCATCAGAAAACGGATATTACGATTCATAACGGTAGCAAAATTAAAGTTATGAAGTAGCAACAAAAATAATTTTATGGCTGGGGGTCACACACGACATGAGGAACTGTATTAAAGGGTCACAGCATTAGGAAGGTGAGAACTCCTGCTTTGGAGGGTGTCAGATTCCCTGCAGCTGGAGGGTGCTGATATCAGGGGCTAAGGATTAAACTGGGGTCCTCTGAAGGCACAGCAAGCATGCTTAGCCGCTTTTTTCTTTCAGTGTATGGGACTGAACCCATGGCTTTGTACATATTAGCAAGGCATTCTACCAGCTAGTTATAACCCCAGTCCTTCAGATACTTAAATTTTTTTCTTTTTGTTTTTCTTTTTGAAACATGGTCTTACTATGTCACCTTGGCTGGTCTGGAACTTGCTATGGCTTCGAACTTACAGAGATTCATCTCTACCAGCACAGAATTGGGATGGGGGGGCAGGGGAGGAGGGAAGCACACATTATATCCTGTGGTGCACATTTCTCTCTTAATAGCAAGTTGAAGGACAGGATGCAGTCGGCAGCAGAATCCTTGCCTAGCATGTACTTGACTCTAGGTCAATTTCTAGTGTCACAAAAGAGGGGGAAATGCAAGTTCGAAACTGCTATGAATACATAATTTTTATATATTTATCTATGTATTTATTCATTTATTTATTTTTAGATATAGTCTTGCTATGTAGCCATAGTTGGCTGGACTAGAACTTGCTATGTACTGTAGGCTAGAACTTATAGAAACCCTCCTGCCTTTATTGCTCTAGTGTTGGGATTAAAAGTATTCACCATTATGCCTGACTTATAAATACATTAAGTCTTCTCCCTGCTAAAATAATAAAATCAACATTTTGAAACTATACTTTCATTTATTTATTTTTAAGTATACTTAAAAAATTACATTTATACTTTATTTATTTGAAGAGGGGCACATATGTGTGCCAAAGTATATATGAGTACGGTAGTGAGAGAGCAACCCTCTCTCCTTCCACCATGTGGGTCATAGGGATTGAACTCAGGTTTCGGGGCAAGTACCTTAACCTGCTGAGCAATCTCACTGGTCCTAGGAGTGTGCTTTTAGTTAACAGCTTTTAGTTAACAGTTAAAAGGAAAAAAGCCAGACCTCAGATAACTCCAAACATCCAGTTACTAACTGTATCATTTATCTTACATTTAAAGAAGGTCACCAAAATGCATGTACTTACAATTTGCAGATATGGTATGCTGACATTAAAACTGTCATTCATATTTGCATGCCACACAATTCTCACATTGGTAATAAAAAAAGTTCCTAAATTTCCCTGCAGAAGAAAGAGAAGTAAATCAGTGATTGCCTGTTTGTATCCCTAGTCTTTGTTTTCTAAGACCCAGAATAAGTCTCGTCATCACAACAGTAGATTAATATAATAATGTAATACTATGGAGCAGTAGTGACTTTATAAGCTAGCAGTCAGATGACTGAACACCAGGACCCGAAACAGTGAGCAGCAGGACATAAGCTCAGTTAAACATTAAAGTTAGTATACTTGCCCGAGGACAAAGTTAAAACTGTATTTTGTGTATGCGTGTGCAGGCGTGCGCATGTGTGTACATGCTTGCAGGTGCTTCTGAGTGGAGTGCATTCTCTCTGGCCACCTTATAGGATCTAGGAATCAAACTCAGGCTGTCAGGGCTGCATGCAAGCATCTCCACCCACTGAGCCATTTCACTGTCCCACAAAATTTTTCTTGGTATGTCTTGTTCAAATGTAAAATGGGGATTTGTAAAAGAAACTTTTATTTGCCTGTTTCACTTGTCTCTGAGGATTACTGCCTTCGTCTGCTAACCTACGCCTAGTCCTGGGACCTTCTAGCCTCCATTCAATCTAATCTAGACCTAGAATGTTTTCTGCCTCTGAGACTTACTGCTTAATAAGCTCACTCTTTCTTGCTCTGTCTGAGCTCTGCACTGGCTGGTTCAACTGAGCTATTCTGGCTCAGATTCCTCCCTCAGCTGCCTTATTCAATCTGGCTTCTCTCAGCTTCTCACTGTAAAACTCTCCAGGTAAAACTGCCTGCTCTCTTTCTGCATTGTCTATTAAGTAGCTTCCCTTTCCTTTCTCTTCTTGAAAGAGTTGGGAGTATACTATTCTGTCAAGTCTTTCCCTGATTCATCACGGTTTCTGCTACTCAATTAGACATCACTTTCCACAATGGGTGCTTCCTTATAACTTTACCTTCATTGTTTGGGATTAAAGGCATTTACCACCACACCTGGACCTAAGCTTTTCTTTACCTGATACTGATACTTTTCTTTACCTGATACCAGGCTGGCCTTGAACTCAGAGATCTGCTTGCCTCTGACTCCTGGATTAAAGATGTGTTTGTATAATCCAGCCGGATAACATAGACCTAGAAAGTCTTTGGATTCACTCTCTTGCCAGAGCAGTCATGTTCTGAATGAAAATTCTTCTACAGGGATTTGAATAAATACCTCCCCCGCCCCCAAAGACTTTAGTATAGAGCCTGGCACACAGCATCTTATAAGTACTAGATCTTTCTAAAATTATTAGTCAAAATGAGATCTGCTTGTGCAAAGGAGTGATGTCAACCAAGACTTGACATATCAATGTATCAGAGATGTTTGATGGCTCATTCATGCCGGCCGGGTCAGAGCCACAGCCAGATGTGGTGATTCACCGATGTTATGCCAGGACCTGGGAGGCTAAGGCAGGAAGACAATGAATTTAGAGCCAGCCTGGACTACACAGTGAGACCTTTTCTCAGAAAAAAAGAAACATATACAACAACAAAACCCTGGGGCTAGCGAGAGGGCTCAGTGGTTAAGAGCACTGGTTGCTCTTTCAGAGCACCCAGGTTCAGTTCCCAGCACCCACATGGCAGCTCCCAACCATCTTTAACTCAGTCCCAGAGCATCCAATGACCTCTTCTGGCCTCCATGGGCACCAGGCACATGTGGTGAACGGGTCTCCACACAGACAAAAGATCTGTACACATAAAAATATAAAAAACACCACCAATAATAACAATCAAACATTTAAAAATATTTATTTTATTTGCTTATTTTGAGACAGGGTCTCATTTTCTAGTAGCTCTGGCAGGCCTGGAACTTACTGTGAAGACCAGGTTGGCTTTAAACACGCGAAATCTGCCTGCCTGGCATTAAAGGAGTACACCACTATACCACACGTTTTTAGTTATGTACATGTGTGTCCCTGTGTGGATGTGTACATGTGAGTGTTAGTGCCCACGGAGGCCAGAGGCACTGGGTCCCCTCAGAGCTACAGTCACGCGTGACTGTGAGCCGCCTAAGTGGGTTCTATAAACCCAGCACTCAAATGTGGTTCTGTTTCTCACCTATGGAAAAAGCAGACTGAACTAGGCCATCTCCAAGGCCCACTGTGGTTCTTGGTTCTATGTAGAACAGAAGTTGATGAAAAAGAGCATCACACCATGAAAATTAGGATATTACTTCATATTTAAAGCTGAACCGCTAACTTACTCAGATCACTAATGCTAATTTTACACAACCCCGATGATGAGTGGTTTAAATTATTGTCGAAACAGTCTTAAAAGACCATTTTATACAATACCTGGTCACTGGATAAATTCCATACACCGTTGATCTTATCATAGACATGTTCCTGTGGTAATAACCTCAGCTGTTTGTTCTGAATGACTGCACTTCTCAACTTAAAATCACGGTACATTTTAGAAGTTTCATATGCTCTACAAAAAAGAATAAACGAAAGACAAATCGATCCAAATGGAAAATATGGTGCCCTTAGACAAGTTTACTCATCTATTAAAATACATGGCTGTTCCGGTTCTGGTAAACTTAAACACTATTCAGCTAGTTGTGGTAGCACATGCCTGTAATCTTTTCACTTGGGAGGCTGAGGCAGGAGAATTGTTGACAGTTTGAGGCCATCCTGGACAACACACTGAGTTCTAGGCCAGCCTGGGCTATAGAGTGAGATAGTTTTAAAAAACAAAGGCAAACAAAGCCAAACCCCAAAGAACAAAAACAAAAAACTTTTCAGTAATGATTTGGTGACTCCAGTTTTCTGTCACAGCAGTGTAATATGGACACATTTACTACAGTACTCATTCCTTCATTTCTTAATTTATGCAAAGTTATTAGTGTTCTTTTGACACAAAGGTCCAATTTCTATTTTCACTGTGACCTAAAAATATTATGCTTGCATCTACCAACATATAGAAAACTCTATGTCAATGCTAAAGAGGATCTAGGGATCTAGGGTTGTAGAGGAATTTTAATTCAGAACATGGCTGTTCTGGCAAGAGATCATATCCAAGACCTAAATCTGTACGATCTCACTGGAATACAAGCATGCCTTTAATCTAGGAAAATGGAGGCAAGCAGATCTGAGTTCAAGACCAGCTTGGTATAGAACAAGTTTCAGGTAAAGAAAAGCTTAGGTCTAAGGTGGTACATGCCTTTAATCCCAAACAATGAAGGTAAAGTTAGTTTGTAGAAGGAAGCACCCATCTTGGAAAGTGATGTCTGATTGAGTGGCAGAAAAGGTGACACACTAGAGAACGAGTTGACAGAATAGGATATGCCCAACTCTCAGGAGAACAAAGAGGAAAGGGAAACTACTTAAGGAGCAATACAAAGACAAGGCAGCTTTACTGGGACAGTAATAGAGAGACAGGTTGCAGAGAAAGAACTCAGGTGAAGACAGAATGAGCCTGAGAATGAGGAGCCAGAAGATTATAGCAGATTGCTGGAGTTAGTTTGAGGCCAAGCAGAGCAATTCAGAGGCCTGGAGAGAAGCCAGATTGAATAAGCCAACTGGGAGAGGCATCTAAGCCAGAACAGCTGAGTTGAACCAGCCAGCCCAGAGCTCAGAAAGAACAAGAGAGGGTGGGCTTATTAAGCAGTAAGTCTCAGAGGCTGAAAGCATTCTAGGGTTAGATAGTATGAAGGCTAGAGGCTTCCAGGACTAGGCCTAGGTTAGCAGACAGAGGCAATAAGCCTCCCAGACAACAACTGAACCAGGAGAATAAAAGTGACTTTTACAAGAGCAGAGAGGGAGAGGTAGAAAAAACAAAATTGGATTTTCCTTTAGTTAGGATTTCTGTTAAGCAATTTCTGTTAAGTTGTGAAACAGTAGGATTTATCTATTAATCTTCATTTTCTTTAGTTCATTATCATCAAGTCATAACCAGAGCTGGCATGGTGGCATACACCTTTAATCCCAGCAGTTGGGAGGCAAAGAAAGATGGATCTCTGTGAGTTTGAGGCCAGCCTGGTCTACAAAGTGAGTCCAGGAGAGACAGGGAAACCCTGTCCCATAAATTATTTCAAGATTTTCATTTTATTTTATTATTAGTAGTAGTAATATTTAATTTTTTCGTTTTTAGTTTTTTTGAGATAGGGTTTCTCTGTGTAACAACAGCAATCAGCTGGTCTCAAACTTCTGCCTGCCTGCCTCTGTCTCCCAAGTGCTGGGATTAAAGGCGTGTGCCACCACTGTCCACCCTTATTGCATTTTTAAAAATTTAGATACTGGCCTTTAACTTATTATGTGTTCTAGTCTTGGTCATAGCACTTCTTAAGCCAAATCAGGAGCTAGGGTTTAGGTGTATGACCATGAAAACTGAAAACTTATGTTGCTGCTTTAGTGCTGGGGAAGCAGTCTAAACCTTGAGCACCCGAGGCAAGGGCTCAGCCACCAAGCTGCACCTCCAGCCCCCAAATACATATTGAGACAAACACTATACACAGTTGCTTAGAGAAGCACTATGGAGCATCTGAGTAATGGCCTGAATTACTGTAAAGAAATTATTTAGGGAAAACATATGAATGTCTATTTCTGCTATAAAATTCTTTTAAACTCATTACTTGAAAATGGTAGCTAATTTAGTAGAATCTTTTCCGTAGTCTTACATTTTTTAAATTAATTTAATTTAAAATTAATTAATTAATTAAATAATTTTATGTGCATTGCCTGCATGTATTTTCTGTGTAAGAGTGTCGGATCCCCTGGAACTAGAGTTACAGACAGCTGTGAGCTGTCATGTATGTGCTGGGAATTGAACTTAGGTCCTCCAGAGCAGACAATGCTCTTAACCACTGAGCTATCTCTCGAGCCCCAGTAGTCTTACATTTACAGAGGGTGATGATATGTAGCTCAGGCTGGCCCAGACCCCATTAATGCCCCTGTTGCTTTGTGCTCCAGGGTGGTGGGGTTACAAGTGTGCACCACCACGCCCAGCACCTTACATGCTTTATACATTCCTTCAGGGTGCTTTTTAGATGATAATGAAGTGTATCAGTCTAAATACCTTTGTGATATCTGCAACTAGAAGATACTATCATCCATCCGTAAAATTTTATCCTTTATACCATTACATCAGAGGAAGTTGATACACTCAGAAGTCTGTGAGATGCTACTGTACCTGTGTACCGAAATCACAGAAGTAAAAAGTCTGGGGCTCCCAGGAACCAGATTTGTGAATATAAACTCAAATCGGGTTGTGTTGCATTTTGTCAATATATAAAGAGCTTCCGTTTGGCCTCGTAGTTTCTGTAAAGACAAATTTGTTACAAAGTTCAGAATTAAAGAGCAAGTTCCCATATAAGGTGGAAGCAAGCCTTGACTTTAGATATCTAATGTTTCTTTACCATTCATCTACTTCACTAGGAATTTTCAGACTTACGGAGTTTGCAGTTCTTGTTGTAATGTTCAAAATGCAGTTGTAACCAATAGCTAAATTAAAAAAAAAAAAAAGACAAAGGTTGTAAGGAGTATGATATCATAAACTAAGAAATATAATATTGTAAAAAAAAATTAAAAACCCCCAAACTTTCATGTTTTACAAATTAAAGCATGAGCAGAAAAACAACTTTTTAAATTTCTATGAAATAAGCACAGGTTGAGGCTAGGAGTTAGCTCTATGGGTAAAATGCTTGCTTAGTATACGTGGAGCCCTGGGCTTGACCCTTAGCACCAGATAAATGGAGCACAGTGTATAGACTTGCAATTCCAGCACTCAGAAGGTAGAGGCAGGAAGATCAGAAATTCTAGTCATTTTCAATGACACAGCAGGTTAGAGGCTAGCCTGGCATACATGGGACCCCGTCTCAAGAAAAAAAAGAAAGGAATGAATGAATGATTACAAGAACCTGAGGGTCAGTTGTACTTCTTTGACCAAAAATATTCCTAACATGGGAAAAGAAAATGTCTAAAATCCAGATACCACCATTTACTAACAAAAAATAAATAAAACTCTTTCCACCATCATGTCAAAAGAGAGAGTCTGGCTAGATTTGCCATACTTAAAAAAAAAGTGACAGGAATGTTGTTCCTGTCACATGAAAGACTATGAATAACAGAGACCAGGACCAGAGAAGCTGGGTAGGCAGGGCACCAGCCGGGAGACCCAAATCTATCTCCAGAACCCATAAGGTGGAAGGAGAGAAGTGATGCCACACAGTTGTCCCTTGGCACACGAACCCCCCCCAACACACACCCTGCACACACACAACAATAATAAAAAACTTAAAAGACAAAAACCCATGTAAAAGCATTAATCCACATATGTTCAAGACCCAAAATGGACAGACTGAGAAATCAGATCATTCCTTTTGTATTAAGATATAGTCTGTGACCAGCGTTTGATTTCTCAAGAGTTTCTTAAACAGTAATTTTATATTTCCACATACTTAAAACTGTTCCTGTTTTTCACACCACAGGCAACTGAACATACGGCTGTAAGCATGTTGGGTAAGTGGCCCTCCACCAAGCTTTATCCCTAGCACTTAAGATCTTTTGTTTGCTTTAAATACAAAATCCACCATCCAACTTTCCTGAAAAAGAATTTCCCCCTTGGCATTTTATCTAAGACGGATACTTACAAAGATTGACTCTGGGTAATGCCAAGGAATGCCAGATGATTCTTAAGTTTGTGACTAAGAGTCTACCTAGAAGCAAAGCAAGGAAGAACAGATTAGCTTGAGGTCCTTTCAGTGCTCAGAATGGGGTCAGAACGGACGCTGTGGTTGGTAGCCACAGTGAGGCACGGCTCAGTGCCCAGCACTGCATATGCTGCATGCCGTGGTCCCAGTGCTCAGGGTGTGCAGTCAGGAGGGCCAGGTGTTCAAGGCCACAGGAGTTTGAGGCCAGCCTGAGAGCATGGTCGGGGCACGGTAACTCCTGCTGCTTTGACTTCCCTGCTCTGAGGAACTCTTCCCTAGAACTTCGGGACGAAATAAACTCTTCCTTGTTTTTTCTTTTCTTTTTTTTTTTTTTTTTTTTTTTTGTGTGTGTGTGTGTCAGGTGCTTTGCCACAAAAATGAGAAAAGTAACTGACACATCCTGTGGTGTGAGTCTCTTTTAGCAGTTCTCATTGTGTGTGTGTGTGTGTGTGTGTGTGTGTGTGCATGTGTTTGTGGATGTGCAAAGTGCAGAAAACAAGACAGAGTATCAGGTGGCCTCCTCTTTACTTTGTACAGTATTCCTCTGGGGCAGCAGGCACCCCAGCCCACCTCAGTGCTGCTGTTGTGATGTGCACAGGACCACTCTGGTCCTTAGAATTGCATAGGAAGCAATCTTAACTGCTGGGCCATCTCTCCAGCCCAACAGCTCTCGTTTAACTGAACCATATACTTATATACCCAGTTCTGCTAGAGGCACAGGCAAAAAAGGCTGGCTGCAGACAAAGAAGCTCTTTAATGACAGACCAACAAATCCAGAGTTAAACCTAGCAGCAACAGAACTGAGTTGGAGTTTAGGCTTAAAATTGAGAGGGACAAAACAATTTTAAGAGCCAGGCATAGTGGCGCACGCCTTTAGTTTAATCCAGCACTCAGGAGGCCAGCGGTGGAGGCAGAGGCAGGTCCATCTTTATGAGTTCCAGGACACCAGACATGGCTAAGTGAGATACTGTCTCAAAAGGAGAGAGATGACTTGGAATGGTAATCCATGCTTTAAAAAAAAAACAAAAACAATTAATTTATTTTTTATTCACTTTACTTCCTGGTTGTATCCCCATCCCTCCTCACCTCCCAGTCACACCCTCTCTCCCTCCCTTTTCCCCCTTCCCTCTTTCACAAAAAAGGGGAGCTCCCTTTCCCATTCACCCCAGCTCATCTAGTTATATCAGGACTGAGAATATGCTCTTCACCTGTGGCCTGGTAAGGCAGTCCCGCCAGGGGGAAGCAATCAAAAAGCTAAGAATTTGCCTCCTTTTTCTTTTCTTTTCTTTCTTTCTTTCTTTCTTTCTTTCTTTCTTTCTTTCTTTTTTTTTTTTTTATGGCTTTTCAAGGTAGGGTTTCTCTGTGTAACATTCCTGGCTGTCCTGGAACTTGCTCTGTAGACCAGGATGGACACAAACTCAAAGATCCACCTGCCTCTGCCTCCCAAGTGCTGGGACTAAAGGTGTGTGCCACTGCTGGTAGCCTGTGCCTTTAATCCCAGCATTCGGGAGGTAGGTAGAGCTCTGTGAGTTTGAATGAGACTCTACATAGAGAGGTGTAGGGCACCTAGGGTTATATAAAGAGACCCTGTCTCAGAAAAAACAAAAACATAAGAGTGGGGAGACATACTAAAGTCTGGTTTATCATTTAGTTATGCAATATTAGAAAAGTTCTGTTTCCTGTCAGTTACCCACTATACAAAAAAATGGTGTCTACTTTCAATTTGTACTATTAAGTAAGATTACATATACAAATATAAAAAATTGCAGTTGGTAAATAAGAAAACACTAAAAGAACTGTTAAGAGCAATAACGGAACATTGGGAGGGTTGAAGAAGGATAGGGAAGAGGAAATGTCTTACTTAAAACGTTTTAATAAAATGTTAGGGGTGGTTATGTTTTCCCTTTTTCTTTGAAGTGAGGGGCACTGATGACTGAGCCCGGGACAGGACACTGGATAGAGAGGTACTCTAACAGAGAAGTACAGCATCTACCCAGCCCGCCTCCCGCCCATCCTCTTTCCTCTTTCCACCCAGCTCTTTTAGATTGAAAGGCTTTACTATCCTAGGTTCCTCATGCCACCCTTGTTTAAAGAGCATCACCTTATCACACAGGCTGGTCTCAAACTGACAGTTACACTGATGCTCCTGTCTCAGCTGCCCAAGTGAGCTGGGACTAGAGGCACATACTTCCAAGCCTGGCTTAATATTGTAATGCCTTACAAACTGATTTTTATTATTTAAAAATTAAAGGTACACTGATTTCCTTATGTCATTTCACTTAGGTAACACCTTGTCTTTAATGCTTTTCGATTGGCATATTCAGAAAAATTATTGAGTGAGAAGGGTTTGCCTTACAAAGCCTTCCGCCAACTGTGTTCACCATTTTTCTGCTCATTGTTTATCCCCTACAAGTCACAGCGTTCTTGTGCTGCCTCTTCTGTAGGATGCCTCCCGAAGCCCCGTGTCCATTCTTCCAGGCCTGAACTTTTTCTCTTTGTCCTTGCTTCCTCTAATCTCCCAAATATGCAATCTCCTTGTCCCCATTCCGCTGTCCCCAGCTTCAGCGAACAGCGTAATCCGACATTTCCCTGGCGGAGTACTCACAAGTGGATTAAATGTGCTAATCATCTGGGTACTCACACCTTTAAAGCAGGGGCCCTGAACACGATACAGCCTCAAGTTGGTCATTTGGAAACTGCTCAAAAGAAGCAGATGCGGAGGACTGGAAGGCAGGACTCCCCAGACAAACCAGGCACTCTGTACATTCCTGTAAACCTTCATTTAAACATGGCTTCCTGAGTTCTGAGTAGGAGGCAGCTACTATGAGGGGGTTATTTGTAGCCAGTCTTCCCTAGGCCCTTATTTTGAGCAACAGAACAACCCTGGATGGCTTCAAGCTTTTGATCTTCCTATCAATGCTTCCTGAGTGCTGGGGTTACAGGCATGTGCTGAGGATTGATGTAGTGCTGAAGGCTGAATCAAGGGCTTGGTGTATGCTAGGCAAGCACTCTACCAATGGGCTCCATCCTAACCCCTGAAAGCCTCCCTGCCCTCTGCTATAGTTGACTTCTGTTGCTGTGATAAAACACTCTAATGGAATGCAATGTGGGAGAAAGGATATTTTTGGTCTTATTTCCAGGTCGAAATCCATCATTGAGGGAAGTCAGGGAAGGAACTCAAGGCAGGAACATGAAGCAGAAACCATGGAGCAACACTGGCTTCCTAAGTCACAGGCTCACAGTTAGCTAGCTTTCCTATGCAGCCCAGGACCTCCTGCCTAGGCATAGTGCTGCCCACAGTGGGCTGGGCCCTCCCACATCAGCTAACAGACAGACCCCCCACAGACGTGCCTGAGGTGATCCCTCAGCTGTGGCTTCTCCTCTCAGGCTCCTTTCACAGCTCTGGGGCTGTGCCAAGCTGTCAATTAGAGCTAACTAGGTGATCTCTAGCCCCAGGTATTGATCTAGGGCTCTGCATTCAGTGAAAACTGCTTTGCTATCCTCCACGGTCTTTACTTATGAAGAACACACTGTCACAAAAGCCTTCCTGTCAGTCGGTATATAAACAACTGAAGTTTCTCTTGGCTTCCTTGAGGTAACTAGCTTAAGATTAGCCTTTATGACAACTCAGTCCGACAAAGTTCGAACTGAGACTTTTTGTTTGCTGCTAAGTGTCCATATTCACCCTTCCCCTTGCCTGACTAACAGCGAGATTGTTGAGAGATATAAGCTTGCCTCTAAGGATAGGCCTGACACACTGACAGGTTCTGCTTGTGCCTAGTGGTAAAGAGAGTTTTCTCACACACAAAAAATGGGGCCTTACTAGGACAATTCAGAAGAAAGTCCTGGAGAGCAAGCAGCCACCCAAAACCTGCAGTAAGCCTGTTCTGCCCTAAGGTTACTGTTCCCTCCCCAGGACACGGATCTCCTTATCTGAGCGAGGGGGGTTGCTCGTCCCAGATTCCTTTTTAACAAAGAGGTTTCTGTTCTTCCTTTCTAGCTGCCTGCTTCTCCAAAGACACTTTTAGGATACCCCAAGCTCCCCTTGAGAACAGTACTGACGCTTTCAGGCCCTGTTAGTTACTCACTGACCGCTGGTGCCACAGCTGTGTCTCGGTGACAGGACTGGTCCACGACTGTCAAATAGCCTGCTCAGTGTAGCACTAAGTTTTCCCCTTCCACATGTCCCCCTCTAGGGTCATCCTGAGAGGACTGTGCAGCACTTCTGGATTAAGGTGAAGTATGGCTACAGATGCCACAGCTATGAATAGTTAATGTTCACTACTCTGTGTTCTTTTACCGGGAAACGTATCCAAGGGTAGGAACTACTTTATGACTCTTGCAAACAGGTGCCTGGAGTTTTAACCATTACTAGCAAATCTTGTGTCACAGGTCAAGATCCACTTCTGATGGGCTTAAGCTGAGAGGAAACCTGTGCTTCTGTTTGTAGGTTTAATATCTACCCTTTCTTTTATTTGGGAAAAAAATAAACTTAAAAAAAACCTTAACTTTTCTTTTCTCACAGTTATTTACACACAATGCTTTCTCACTAGCTAATGTGAATCAACATTGATACATTGTAAATCAGAGTATAAAACTCAAATCTACTCACCTCTATCCCCATTATTTCCCTTTGTGTCTTCAATTGAATCTAAACAATCAATAAGTACTTCTCCCGGTCTTGTTTTCATCTGTCTAAATTAAACATAAAATTTCAAGGTTTATAACTTCAGCTCTGTCTGCTACCAATCTACATAGGGAAGAGAGACGAGGGCATAGGGCAGCCAACATGGTAAAGGCTACAGCACTGAGTGTCAGTGAGGCCTGAACTAACCAGGGACGCTTGGGAGTCAGCTAGAACCAAAAATGGAGTCTTGGATAGCTAAAAGGAAAAACAAACAAACAAACAAAAAGAGTGTGTGACTGATTGAAAAACAGGAACAAGAAGGGTAAACGATGTGTTGGGTGGGGGGGGGGGAGGGCACTGAATAGTGACAGAAATATAGTTGGGTAACCCGGGAGTTATCAAAGAATCGGAGACTCTCGAGGATGGGTACCGGCCTTACTCTGTGGACTACAGACAACCGGCAGAGGAAGGACAGCAGGCTATGAAAGGAATGATTTTGAAAAGGGTCGGATGAGAGGTATCCTCAGAGGGGTCATGAGCAGCTCAGCAAGAAAACATAGCTGCCACCACGTCTGACGGCCCGCATTTCATCCCAGGGCCTGCACAAAGGGGAGAATGGACTTCTGCACGCTAACTTCTAACCCCACTCACGCACGGAGTACTCAGAAAGCACTCTTCGCGAGCTAAAGAAACTAATACCGTCTTAGGCATCCAATTACCACAAAGACTGAGAAATGTACGCATATTTCACTTTTCCATTTAAGGAGGCACTGTTAGTGCTAAAAGCACCACTGGGAAGCAGTTGAGGCTCCATGTAGCTGCACTGATCCAAGAACTTCAGCTTTCATGTTTTCAAACACCTATCTCAGCGCCCCACTCCCCGACTTCTGGGCAGGAAGGTTTTTAGCCACGTTCTCTTTTAAGGCGCATTCCCCACAAACAGGGCTTCTTAAAAACAAAACAACAACAAAGCAAGCTCTAAAAGATTTGGATGAAGAGCAAAATGAAAGCTTGGCCCCGACCCAAGCTTTGCACGGTCGAGAGTTTCGGAGAATTCTCTCCCTCATTTCACAGACACGCTAAGCGTGCGGAGGCCCGCACTACGCAAGGCTGTTCCGGATTTTGGTTCTAGAACCCTGCTTTACGGAACCCCAGCCCGACGTGCGCTCCGCCGCGGGCCGCGGGGGGCTGCAGCCTTGACGGGCGCACACGCCGGAGAGGCCGCGGGCCGGGGCAGGGCCAAGGGCCGCAGGGGACGGCCGCGGGGTCCCGGCGCGTCGCAGAGACTCACTGCGACGACACGTCGAAGCGCACGTCGCGGTCCTCCCACAACACGTCCAGCACAGACATGGCGGCCGAGGTACCCCGCCGACGCTGCACGCTGTGGCGGCCCTGCGGCGTCTTGCGGGTTCCAAGGCAACGTGCCGGCTTCGTCACCGCCTCTACGGCGGGCGCCGAGGCCCAAGCTTCCAACAGGTAGTGCGCCCTCTTTCCCCTGCCCTTTTTCGTCGTTAGGTCGGTTTGAGGCCGGCGGCTCGGAGGGTGCCTGACTTCAGAGCCGACTCTCTGGTCTCCGTGCAGATTTTTAGCCATTTCAGCCTGCTTGCTGTTTCCTACACCATCAAGAAATCTTAACTTCACCAAATCACGCTCCTAGTTCGGTGGCGGCTCCGGTCCTGCCCGCCTCGCTTACGCTGGAGGCCTGGCTCTGTCTACCTTCCAGACCGAGGCTCAGAACCTACTAAGGTTCTATTCCGTCTGGTTGGGCCACTGCTTCCCCAGATGCGTGCACGGCCACCCTTACGTCTTATTTCACAGGTCAGCTCTGGGGTTCCTCTATTGTGAGCAAACAAAAGACGTGCTCCTGATCCTTCTAAGTTCACCGCTTTGAACAATGTGCAGCGTAGACTGAACACGGGATAAACACTTTTTTGTCCCTTTCCTTTCTTTCCTTTTTTCCCCTTCTTTCTCCCTTCCTCTCTTTCTTCTCTTTCTCTCTTATTCTTCTTTCTTTTTCTTTCTCTCTCTCTCTCTCTCTCTCTTTCTTTCTCTTTCTTCTTTCTCTTTTTCTTTCTTTCTCTCTCTCTTTCTTCCTTCCTCTCTCTCCTCCTCCTCCTCCTCTGTCTCTCTTTCTCCCGAGATACGGTCTCACTTTGTGGTCCAGTTTGACCTCAAAATCAAACCCGTCAGCTTCCCTATTACTGGGATTAAACGCATGCATCTTGCCTACTTTATAAATTCTTTTTTAAATGAATCAAAGTGCTTTCTCTTAGCACATGGCAATTATCAATAAGCAAATAAAACCTCAACTGAATTGCTGATTCACACAGACTGATCTGGGCTCTCCTGGGCATACTCAAGAGCCTTTCATGGTCTTGTAAGTATAATGACATGAAAACGTTTGCCTTTAAAACTCTAACTGGGTCATGAATGCACATTGTCTATAATTGCCTATGGAAGGAGACAGAACACTCTAGTTTCTGTTTTCTTCCAGGCAGGGTTTCACAGTGTAGGCCAAATTGGCCTGAAACGTACCATGTAGATCAGAGTGTTGAGCTCACATCAGCCCTCCTACTACCTCGACTCCAGAATGCTGAAATTAGATATGTGAGCCACTCTGCCCAGCTATTTGTTTAATGTTCTGTGGCATTTTGGTTTTAGGAGTTACTATAGCATTGAAATCATGTCAACATTGTTAATCTTCCTGATCATCGTCCTGAGTACTGGGATTTCAGTGTGGACCACCTCACTCACCTTTAAAAAAAAAAAAGAGCCGGGTGTGGTGGTGCACACCTGTAATCCCAGCACGCAGGGAGGCAGAGGCAGGTGGATCTCTGTGAGTTTGAGGCCAGCCTGGTCTATAGAGTGAGTCCATAATAGCCAAGGCTACACAGAGAAACCCTGTCTTGAAAAAACAAAACAAAAAGACAGGATCTTGCTTTGTAGGCCAGGCAGTTCTCACAGTCCTTGTGATTCTGTCCTCAAAGTCCTGGACTTACAGCCTTGTGCTACCATGCTGGCAGCCTATTACTGAGCTAGGCATGAGACAGTTTTGTAACAGGGGCTGGTTGCACAGCTCAGTGGTTTAGAGCGTTAGCTGCTCTCAGAGAAAGAAGATTTGGTTCCCAGCACCCGCATGGTGGCTACAACTGTCTGTAACTCCAGTTCCAGGGGACGCGATGCCCTCTTATGAACTCCACAGGCACCAGGGACACCCATGGTATACAGACATCCATGCAAGCAAAACACATACACATAAAATAAAATAACCTATTTTTTTAAAAGTTTTGCAAGAATGTAGATCAATGCTAGTCTCACAAATATTTTAGAGAATATAAATATTTAAAAAGTTATCTATACTGCTGGAAGTAGTGACACACATCTTTAGTACAGTATTTGGGAGGCAGAGGTAGACAGATCTCTGTGAGTTCAAAGCTAACCTGATCTACATAGTGAATTCTATAATAGGCAGGGTTATAAGTAAGATTCTATCTCAGAAAATTTGTTTCTGTTATTCTGTTTAATAATGTGAGTCAGTATTGATTGAAATATATTTCTTCTAGTTTTATTGAAGTATAAATAGTATAGTAAAAAATAATTAATGTATATAATTTGGTGAGTTGCAGCTTATGAACATGTGTGTTATCACCACAATCAAGATAATAAAAATTATCTTTTTAAAAAAGATTTATTTATTTATTATGTATATAGTATTCTGCCTGCCTGTACATCTTCAGGCCAGAAAAGGGCACCAAATCTCATTATAGATGGTTGTGAGGCACAATGTGGTTGCTGGGAATTGAACTCAAGACCTACTGGAAGAGCAGCCAGTGCTCTTAACCTCTGAGCCATCTCTCCAGCCCTAGCTATCATCTTTAAATCCATTATCTTGCCTTGTTTTCCTTTGTGGGTTTAGTTTGTTTGATGGTAAGAACACTGAGTGTGAGTTGTACCATCAACAACAGCAGACTTTTGTCCTGCTGGCATTGAGCCCAAGGCCTTCTACATGCCAGGCAAGCAAGCATTCTACCATTGCGCTATACTCCTAACCCATGCCTTCTGAGTGCACAATATTGTATTGTTTTGCAGAGATGATGTGTTGCACAGCAACTCTCTGGAACATACTTGACTGGCAGAAGTCTTTGATGTGTATCTTAGCTACGATATATTCACTAACATCTATGTGAAAACAACTAATAAATACTAATAAATCACAGATATGCGAATAATGCCTTAGTGCATATTGCTTTAAAATATGGAAGGCTGGAGATACTGTAACAGGGACCCAGATCTTAGTAGGCCCTAAGACCTTGGCATAACTGACTCCAGGATGGAAGTGCCATTCAGGCTATAACACTCAGCATGTAGACAGCACCACCTGCCAACACTAAAACAAAGGCCTAATCCATCAAAGTCCATAGTTCTGGGAAAGGCTCAAAGCCTTTTAGCTTCTGTGGTTCCACTTCTGTAACTGTTCTTGTTAACTGAAGTATGTCAACCCAGAACATGGCTGTTTATGCTTCAAAGCTCACCCTGAGAGAGGCTCAGGGCTGCACTGGGATTCTGAGCAACCCAGCTGGCTGGCTAAGAAAGACTTCCTTTCCGTTTAAACATATGTCCTACCAGCCTTCTCTGGTGAATACCCACAACAGCGGAGCTCAGCATGTAGCGTCACACCAGTGTGCTCACACACACAGTGGTTCCCATATAAAAACCTAAAGCTTACCCAAAATAAAACCGAAACATTATAGTTTATACGTAAGAAGTTCTGTGGGATGTGTTTCCGAATATCATGGGAGCAGGATTAAGGAACAGTGATCCCCCTCTTTTTTTTTTTTTTTTTTTTGCACAGATATGATACATAGACACAAGATATGGTACATAGACACACATCCAGGCAAAACACACTCCTACACAATAAATAATAATAATTTTTTAAAAAGCAAAAAGAATGTGCTGCTGGATGAAACAGAAAGATTCTCAACCTCTGATGAAACTCACCAGTGATTGATACACATTGCTCAGAAGGGTGTGATATCGAGTTCGTGAGCATGCCCTGGCCAGGGTGAATTGAGTCGATATTTTGTCTAAGGGTGAGTGGTGACAAGAGGTAGACAATGAAAGATGAGGTGGAGACGGGGGAAGGCCGTGTTGGCTGGAACCGCTGTGCTGTGCGGCTGAGAAGGAAATCAGAGCTCTTCTCTAACTCAGGGCAGCAGCTCGGTTGACTTCCAGTTTGGAGCAAACCGATGGGTCTAGTTCTGTTTCTCATACTTGCAAGTCTCTTCCCTAGCTTGCTTGCTTGTTTGCTTTTTATTTTTTTGACGAACTGTGTTCTTTGCCTTGTAAGGCTGGCACAGAACTCATTAGGATAGCCAAATTAGTCAAACTCATTTGCTCCAGGCTCCCGAACTCTGGGATTACCTGTGTGTACTTCCCTCGAATTTGTTTGTTTTAAGATGGGTCTCTTCGTGAAGCTTTGGCTGGCCTGAAGCTTACGATGTGGACTATGTTGGCCTAAACTCATAGAGGTCTACCTGCCTCTGCCCTCAAGTGCTGGGATTACACCCCTGTGTCACCTCCGTCCCTTAGCCTTTAAAGGTCTGACTTCTCTGTATTTATCTTTATCACGGCCTTGTCAAGCCACACTATCTAGCTTCCCTTCTCCCTATTCATCTGTAGCTTTGCACAAAGCCATCACCTTAGCAATGCCCTGTGTCTCTTTTTTTTTTTTCCCTGCTCTTCTCTTTCTCAATCTGAACCTATCAGATTGCCAAGTTATAGTCCTAAATGCATACTTATACTGTTATGACAACTGCCACCTAGAAAATGGGCAGGCAGCTGGGTGTTGGTGGTGCACACTTGTAATCCCAGCTCTCTGGGAGGCAGAGGCAGGTGAATCTCAGTGAGTTTGAGGCCAGCCTGGTCTACAGCGTGAGTCCAGGACAGCCAGGGCTACCCAGAGAAACCCTGTCTTGAAAACAAGCAAGCAAGCAAACAAATAGGAAAAACAAAAAAACAAAGAAACAAACAAAGAAAATGGGCAGGCCTTCTATGCTGACCTTCACTGGCAAAGTGACAAGCGTTTCAGGGGTGGCCACCCGAGCCAAACCAAGAGCAGCCGTTCATTGCGGTACAGCTGTGATGTGCAGAACACGGCTTTAGCCTAAACCAGTCTTCATCTTCATTACTACGCCTATGTATTTTCTGTCTTAAAAAAAAAAAAAAAAAAAAAAAAAAAAAAAAACAACGCAAGAAAAAATGCATTATTTGTATCTCATTCTTAATCATTTCTATAGAACATTTTATAAGCACTTTCAATTCATATGTCAAAGAGAAGATACGCTGCTATGGTGCCCAGTGACCTTGGTAACAGTCCATTCATAGTGCCTAGCAACGGATGTCATTTTGTCTTACAACATGGCTTGTGTACTCACATTGAGGCTTAGTGCTCAATGGGCTGATAAAAGTACAACTCCTCACAGCATTAAGTGGAAACATCTTGAATAGAATGAGTTTGGTCGCTATTATCTTTCCACACAAATCCAAAACACAAAAACAGTCTGATGATGCTAGAGCTAGTTACAGTACATTAGCCAGGTTAAGTTTTATAATTAAGGAGGCTGCAGAGAGAAGGAAAAATTGTTTTTCTAAAAAGCCTAAGGATACTGTGCTGTCAAGAGGGGAGAGGAAACTAAGGTACAGGTGGGCCAAAAAGCCTTGGGAGATGCTGAAATAGAAAGTCATTTGAGGCAGCGGTGGTTCGTGCCTGTGATCCCAGCACTCAGGGAGGCAGAGGCAGGCAGATCTCTGTGAGTTTGAGGCCAGCCTGGTCTACCGAGTCCAGGACAGCCAGGGCTGCACAGAGAAACCCTGCCTTGAAAAGCCAAAAAAGTCATTCGAACGATGTAGACATCAGACTGTTTTTGGAGCTCTCTCTGGACACAGACTTGGAGCCAGTGTTTCTCAAAGCCCACATAGCCAGAGCCGAGAGCTTCTGGACTAAAAACAGAGATGCCCTAGGTACTTTAAGAAGCCACCGAGAGTCCAAGCGCTGGGGCACAGTGGTAGGTGCTGTCCAGCAGCCCTAAGGACGTGGGCAGCAGGGATCCATTTACTCACTGATAATCGGTTCTTCCCCAAAACA